AACTGACGATTTTTTCAATAAATTGTTTCTTTTTCGTTATTACAGAGCGTATTTTCATCAATGTTCAGGCAATCCATACAAACAGCCGAAAGAAATATTTTTATAAATATTTTAACTTTCGACAACTAGTACAATAATATAAAATACTTAATGTATCTAAAGTTTTAGGGTTCCGAACCCAAGGAGTAAGTGGACTCCGCTGTCAGTCCGTCTGTCACCAGATTGTATCTCAATAATGATAGTTAGACGTAGTACGTAAGTCCCTTTCAGGTAGGTAAAATTTAACTTCAACAAAATTCTAAATTTAACTTGGGCTTCACTACCAACATACAAAAAGCGGAGTTTATAAAATAATAAAATATGAATCAAACTAAGCTAAACACTGGATTCTGGCGAAATCCACTAGGGCAACGCCATTAATTAAAAAGAAGAAGAAGATAGTTACACTATTACAATTTTACAGATTATATATTACTATTGCTGCTATAATAGTATAAAATAAATTATTTAAGGGGCTTCCTTCCATACAACGTATTTTTTTCCATTTTTTTATGGCCGCATTTAGCCGGTTTTTAAGTAAAAGTATTATATATATATATCAAATGTATTTAATTAAAAGTAAAAGTTTTTTTTTTCAGTACCGAGGTAATATATTCGGAGTTAATTTAATCTTTAGTTTTACATCTAAAGATTTTTTTTAAAGAAGCCTCTTTTCTTGTGACAAGTGCTAGAGTCCATTTCTTATTATCTTGACTCGAGGGAATTATTATACAATATTTTTACTCTAATCAATATTTTTTCTAAAATTTCCCTTTTTGCATTTGCATGGTAAAAATATTGTAAAATAATTCCCCCAAGTCAAAATATTTTTACCATGCAAATGCAAAAAGGGAAATTTTAGAACGAGAAGGAAAAACAGTCGCCTTATTCAAAGCTAGAGTCCAAGCTATAAGCTAGTGTCAAAGCTATGTTATGAAAATCTTTAGTTTTTAGGGCTCGGTATCCAAAGGTAAAACGGCACCTACTTAGCCTATCTACCAAAATATTTCGACAGCTGAAATAAGACAAAGTCATTGATGGATTATATTATTAACAAAAACATACCTTCATAAATTAATATGAACATATTTATTGATAAAAAAGATGAAACCTTGAGGCAGTAATACCTATATAGTTATTGGTTTGGCTTTAGCTTCGAGTTAGAAATAATCTTTTATTACCTTCTTCCTTATTTTTAATTATATTCGTACATTTCAATTTTGTAGTTTCATTTATTTATTCATTATCACAAAAAAAAAAACACATAAAGCGGACTTAATGCTTAATGCATTCTCTACCAGTCAACTTGATCAGATTGGAGAAAAATGGAGATCAGTTATAAAGCGATAAGAATATTTTTTTATCTCAATCGTTTACTATTTAAAAATGTTATCAAACAGTAAGGTTATGCTTCTTCTAATGAAATGTAAAGTCAACGGAGGGTTTACAGTAAATATGGACATAGGTACATACTTATCTATCAACGACAAGGATCCCTATTTTAAATGCGATGATTAATGAAGTACTCCTGCAAAATACTGACCAACGGCAGTACCGTACCATATAGGCTCAAATCTTGAGAACCACTGAATAAATTCATCACTTTTGTAATATCCAACATAACCTAAGCGAAAATAAAAAATTGAGGTCAAAATAAGAAACAAAAGTTTTCCCATTACTAATTGAGCAGCACGAAGTTTGCTCGGTTACTATAAAATACTTATCTCGCAAAACCAACCATAATTATTATTTCCTGTGTAAGTACACAATGACCTGTCCATTTGGAGATGGTTTAATTAGTTGACCAACTAGTTGGCTCTCATGGCAAGAGATCTCTGAACTGAACCCGACGTCTTTTTTGTTCATTACTTATTATATCTGGTGATCAAAGTATTCTTTTGTTTTTTTATTCCTCCTTTTGCTCCTTGAAAAGTTCAAGCGTACGATGATCCTTGATATCGCTACCTATCTACTTACCACGGCCATAATTTGTCGTGACCAAATAGAGTAGTATAGAAAAATATACTCTACCAGTACGATGATTTGACCTTCTCATCATTTTAAGTATACTTGGATGATGCACGAATAATTTTTAACCTGCGCCTAAACACAAAAGATAAAACGAAACAAACTGAACGGGTCCGTTACTAACAAAGATAGTGCATAGGTGGCTAATTAGCTTTTTCGCACGAAATAAAGAGTCATTTTTTTTTTTTATTACGCTCAAACCGTTATGATTGTTATAAAAGTTGTGTATAAACTTAATTATTTTCCTAGTGCATTACCTAGTTAACTCTATTCACAATGAAATAGAGACTGCTTTACTTCTTTTGATACTATGACTTTTTGAGGTACTCTATTTCATGTTAAAATGTTTGAATGGCACATTTATATTATTATTTGTTCTTATTCTGAGATACATTTTAATATGAAAAAATATTGAACCAATCTTTATTAGACTTTTCCTTATTTGTGACGGTTCATAAGCACAGATCAAGTTAAACATTTCGTAATTATTATTAGCTGTCTTCTGTTATGAAAATGAAGTAACTTAGGATAATAATAAAACAATATATGCTCTTCAGCTCTTTCTCTGGTTTGTGTACACACCAATGTGCAATGTGTTTCTCTTTACTTCTAGCGTATTGTAAAATACCATGCAAATCTGAATGTTAATGCGTTTTCTAGGTAGAGAAAAAGGAAACGAAAAAGAAAGCAAGCTACACAACTAAGAGTTTCAATATACCTAGCCTTCCTTCTTTTTTTACTTTAATGGTTATAATTGAAAACCATATCTATATTTGTACAATTTTATATGAAAATTTCAAATTTACTTCTTTTCAAGTTCTGCGAACATTTCGCATTTTACACTATTTTTTACACAAATACTAAAATCATGAGCACATATTAATTTAATAGAGTAGATAAATACTTAATACGTTTATGCCTGTGATCTAACCGAACAAAACAATTTAAGATGAATACCTATACATATTAATCTTTAAACTTAAATAATTTCTTAACGATACCACTAGGTGTGCAATAACTCAATAACAAAATAAAAGTTTCATAAGAGTGTTCTTTATAATTCTTATGAAATGAAATCGTTTTAATAATAAATTTCCATAAAAGTTATTTATTAAAGAAAGCATTTATCTTCTATTATTTACTATCTTCGATCAACAATATTACTATTTTACGAGTTTACTACTAATTTTTTATCGTAAAACCACTTTATTTACTTTTACTATATTTACTTTTACGCACCTAATAAGTCTTTTTCCTCTTAAATAGTAACTCTTGCGAGTACCGTTGAGTACTTATTTACATTGGTTTTTCTGGTAAAACAAGTTCGAGTTATGGGAAAAAGAATAAAAAATCAAGGTTACTTGAAGATAAAATTAAAGCATTAAGTGTCACCAGTAATAAAAAACAACTGGAAGTTTTACCTTTCACCTAATCCAACTCAAACAGTCCACGTGAAGATCCGAAACAAAGCAATCGTTCTGACTTATGTTCCTTTTTTGCAATGTGCTGACTTATGTACTACGGTCTAGCTGCATGATAAGTTCATTAGTTACCTCTCGCATTGAGCGTACGAACACGCTACATAAAGAGAATTTATATTGATCAATTAGAATTACGTGTTTCTAAAATAACGGTCAACTACGGTGCTAGTGGTGGTATTAGTGACGTTATAATTTCGGTGGGTAGACGAATAAAATTGTGTGCCAGTATAGTGTCAGGACGAGATTTCTTGAACGTGAAGAAAATACTATGCTTTTGGCAGTACCTTTGTTTATTATTGGTAAGGTTTATTAGATTTTTTTCATTAATTATTATAAATAGGTTTGTTAGTCACAAATCTCAAAGAATGACGAAGAAGGACTATGAAGTATAATTAATTATCGAATAAACCGAATGAGTATTTAATATTATCAATTGTTTTGTTCTTTGTAAATAGATTTTGTTAACGTGTGTGCCCTCAATTTTATTATAATAGGATTCTTAGAATTACAATGTAAACGACTGTACTTCATTTTTATGAAATTCAGCAAAAAAATTTGAAATAGGTATAAAAAAGATCTGTTTTTAACGTATCAAGACAATTTGATTCCTCACACTAAAATGTTCACGATTCTAAAATACATGCAAATAACGTTTTATATGTCATGATACTATCCAAAAACATTTTACAATACTACAGTTGAAATGTTTTTGATAGTGCTGAAATGATTAAAAGTAGATAATATTATTTTAGTAAGTTATTACAATTTTATGTTATGTTTCATTTATAACTACTATTATTTCGAAAATCACAAAATTTCTGTACGTTACAATCAATTAAACAAATTATTAATTAATATTAACAATCAACGCATGACTGTTATTTTAAATGTAGAGATGTAGAGATAAACTCACTCTCAAAACGCATTCAGTTGGGACTGCATAAAATATAAAAACAGAATGGTATGAACAACGAAACGTACTTTTGACAAGTTGTCATTTCTTGACGTAACGATGACGTACAGTAACCATACAATCATGATGCAAACCGATACATTTCAGAAGGTCACTATAACAGATAAACTTAATGTATTTCAGTCACATATTTTTAAGAATTGCATTGTATAAATAATAGTCTACCGATATGCATGGGATAACTTTAATAAAACAAAATTTTATCAATGAAATTGAGCTATGTGGACGCTTCAATTATAGTGAAATGGTGGTTGCGATAGGAACATCAATAAATGGTTGGAAGGGCTACGTTAACATGTACAGAAATAAAAGTAATAATGACGTGATGTAAACAGGTATTTAAGTAGTTAAGATTTTACACAAATATATTTCAATAGGTTAATATACTTTAATATCTTTGATTTTTCTCCACTTGAAAGCTCAATAACTTATTCTTCGTTCATTTATTTAGTAGATTTGTTTTCTCATCAGTTATTATAATGACAGAAGAAAGTACTGCTGAGATTAATTTAGAACATTGGATGGGAAATTTACCTGCTCAACTGAAGGACATTCCTTTTATATATTTAGCCATTCCTGGTAAGTTTGGGCTATGGTGGTTAATTTATTGTAATTAATTTACTAACGCTTTTATATTATTTTTTAATAAAAATAGAAAACTATGCTTAATGCACATACACATTATATAAATATATTATTCAAATAAAATATAACTATATAATACTGTTTAAGTCTTAAAAATACTTACTTTAAACACAATAAACTATGTACTTTTATATGTATTTAATAATGTTTATTATTCATTTCAGGAAGTCATGATTCAATGACTTTTAGCATTAATGGATCCAGTGGATTAGCACCTGATGCAGAGCCCATACTACATAGACTGTATCCTCTGTTCCGAGGTACGATCATACGATGGACTGTAACCCAGGCTCTAAATACCATGCAGCAACTGCTAATAGGCATTAGGTACAATCCAAATAACACCTTAATTGCATCATGCACTCAGATACTTAGTTTTAATATTACAGTATATTAATTATTACACAGAATATTCTATAAATTCCAATAATGCTGGTGCATAATTAATATTGTAGGACACTGACTAATTAGAATCTTGCTCACTGCCTTATTTTGCTTCTAAACATTCACACAACTTCATAAGGATACTAATCATTTACATATTTATGATTCAACTTGAATAATCACAAGAGGTAAATGTTATTATGTTTATAAAAGAAGAATGCCTATTTTATAAAAGCACAATGATACACCTGTAAATATTTTGCGCCCTTGCAGTTTTATTTGCACATAATAGTTAAATTATAATTATTTTTCTATTTCGAATGTTATATAAAATTTTATGAGATTATTAAAGAATCTCATTTTTCAAAATGAGATGAAATATAATAAATAGTAAAATGTTGATGAAATATGGAAATCTACTAGTTCACATATTTTTTGAGACTATTGCCTCAATATAAACTCACAATTAGATAAACAGCATCATTTTTATATTTGTATGTTCGGCATGAGTGATCCACTTATGTATGAATGAACCAATTTAAAGCACTTCCATTATAGAGAGATTTTGTACCTTTATAGTTTTCCATATTCATAACCCAAATAACTAAGAACCTTGACACCTAATTCTCCATCATATACAGTATATGAATAACCAAGTAACATTTTCTCAAAAATCTAATAAGTAACAGAATATGAAATACAATTAAGAGTATAATTGTCTCTGTTAGTGTCCAATGTTTCTATTATAAATTTAACAAATCAATTACAGATTAATACATCTTTAATAACTCATGCAAGAATTACATTTTGTTTATTATAGTAGTAACTATTTAAAACATCTGCAACATTTATAATGTATCTCTATTTAATACAAAAGTTATCATACAAAAAGTAACCTTAAGTTTTAAGCTTTTATAAAGTTACTATAAAGGTAGTAGCTATCAAATAGGTACTAAATAATATCGATTCTTAAATTAATTCCGCATTTTTAGTCTTATACCTGGCAACATTTTAAACAGAAATGCAGTTATTAATATTTGGAGACATTATTAATGAACTTCATCTACTTGAGGCACTTTTAAACTTAAAAGCTATTTTGATTTTCAGCACTCTTCTTTAGCAAAAGCATTAAGAGAATTCTTATACTTTTCAGATATCTAGATCTAAGATTGGCCACCAAGCCTGGAACAAATGCTTTCTATTTCACACATGGCTTATATGCAGATGAAATAACAGAACCTCTGAATCAAGTCAAAGAGTTTGTTGACACTCACCCAGGAGAGGTAAACTTTTGATTGATATTCTGTTTTATGTCAAATAAATTATTAAATATACCTTTGGACTTAAAATCTATTTCAGGTAGTGATATTGGACTTCCAGCACTTTTATGGGTTTACTCCAGAGGATCACCAAAGGTTGATGAGATTTCTACTCAATTTCTTTCGTCAACGAATTGTGCCTAGACAGATAGACCTCAGGACTATTACCCTCAATACACTCAGTAGATTAAAGCAACAGGTAAATTTTGAACGAGACTTATCATCATTGAGTTTTATGACGGCTTCGCCTGCATGGTCTCTAGAGTACTATTTAGTGGGATAAAAAGTATCCTATTATCTAATTCAGCTAATATCCTATCTGTCTACCAAAATCCTTTTAGTAGTTTCGGCGTGATTGATGGACAAACATTTAAACAAAGAAACTTTTACATTTATAATATTAATAGGATAACAATTTCCGCAAAACTTCCCCCACGTGAACTTATGCATCTGTCGCAGGCCAATCGTTGAATTAGACCAATGGATATCACGATATGCCGCCATTTCTTGATTTAGTCATCTATCATCCGCCATAACGTTCAATGCTTAACGGCAGATCTATATCGGCCCAATTCAACGATTGGCACCTGACACGTATAAAGAGAAATAAAGTGTGATTATTATTCATAAATCATAGTCACAAGGTTATACAAATCTGTCCAATTTTGTAACTTGATTGGAAACCTTAATGCATTGGGGGTAGAGATGAACTTTTATTTGATGAGATTGTCTTTGTATTAAGAGAGATGTATTACATCTTCAGATAGTGGTAGTGTACCGAAACCAAGCGGTATACGCGACAGGCGAGTTCTGGCAACCGCAAATGGTGCCGTCGCCGTGGCCGCAGACGGAGCGCGTATCGACGTTGTTCTCTTTCCTTGAGAACGTAAAGCGGCACCCGGGCATGGGTTTCGTGCATCAGGCCGTGCTCACGCCCACACCTAGCTTCATCGTTTTCAGGTTAGAGTTCTTCTTTATCACAGACATTCTTAGGGATTTCAATATAACGTACCTTATTGGACTTAAATTCTTACAATTGTCTGCAAATTCCTGCATCCAATTATCCTCACGGTCCTTACCGTGAGAATAATAGGGGTGTAGACAACTTCTTTATATATTTTTTTTATAGATATACATAACATATATCTGAAAAAATATTTTAAAAAGTATCATACACATAATAAGTTAAAATCTATAAATAATAAAGTTGAATTCTCAAAGTTCTGATATGAGTAAAAAAGGCGTGACGTTACGCGTTGTTTGCTGTCATGTGACAACAAGTATAAAATATTTGTTTTTTCATAATTAATAAGCAATATAAAGTGTAATTATCGGTAAAAGTATAGTACACACTACCAGAAAAAAAATAATGTATTTATTTTCGTTTACTGTCTACACCCGTATTGGATGCAGGCCACTTGTATGAATGTTCAACGGTATAATATAAGATCGTCATTCTTTTATGGAGTGGGTGTCTTTTGTTTGTTGCATTGTCAACTAAGGCTCTTTACTGATAGCTCGTATCGATGCAATTCGATATCGATGAGAGATATCGCACGAATTGTGCGCCCTAATAAAATATAAGGAGAATCACAAGTTTACTCATGAAATTGCACAATGTGTCGATATGGGTCACAAATTAGGGAATGCAATCTCGCGAGATTGGGACTCGGGCGAGATCTCGCGAGTTTATGGATATTAATACCGCAAGACCTCGCCAATTACGAGATTTCGCGAGATTGGCATTTTTGTGTGTTTACTGTTTTACGATTATATTTATTCAGATTACAATATTTGAATAAATTAGGAAAAAAATATTGGAATTATAGGTTTTATGAAATAAACGTTTATTTTTACGGGTATTTTCAATAAAGTTTTATGTGTTTAACATTGTTTGTCTAAAACCTTTAAAAGAGCAATTAATGTATTATAATCTCGGAAACGGCTCCAACAATTTTCATGATATTAAATATGCGATAAATCGATTTAGTTAGGTTTATTTTTTTTTATAAAAGTGCCGGGTAAAGCTTAGTCATCCAGGTACTAATCTTTTAAGAAACTAAACTTTGACGTATCTAATTAAATACGAAATGAAATAAGCAACCAGTATTCTCTGCTAATGTCAAACAAAAGTTTAGTTTAATTTAATACACAGTTTTTAAAACTAAAATAAAACTTATTAAATAGGTTGAATTGACTATTAAACTGAGATTATCATCAATGAAAGAAAACTATGTGTACCCAGAGATCAATAGGTAATTAGAGAATAAACTGGCAAAATGTACCAATCAATATAAAAGCTTATTCAGTTCACTTCACACGTCGTTATTACGAATAATTTTGAAAGTAGCTTCTTAAAAATCACAAAATGTCCAAAGAATCTTTGCTATTCGTCTTATTATTGTGCTGGCCAGATAATCAATCACTGAGATGACCCTTTCGAAAATACAAGTACTGTAAAAGTGTAAACCTTCGCCTTTTAACCCCATAGACTCGCATAAATTCGCACTGCCGCACTTAGAATAAATCGCTTTATGTTCGAGTGTAATCTCGTTAAACTCGCGAGATCTCGCCCATTTTCATACCGAGATCAATCTCGCTAAAAAAGGCCGAGATCTCGCAAGATTGCATTCCCTATCACAAATCTCCTCGAAATCGAATTCCATTTACTCATGTCGTGTAATATTACTTTAAATGTATGAAGACGGTGGTGCGCTCGGTGGACTTTTTTTTTTTACGTTGGACCATCCAACCAACCAACGACCGACCGACCGACCGATTGAGACCGACCGAGAACCGTGAGCCAGAACCGGCGAAAAACAACTACTAATCTTGAATTTTCACCCTACCGCAATTTCTCTCTCAAAAAGAGAACATAATGTGATAGTGCAATTAATATCGCTCAAAAAACAATGGCCATCTACCTAACATGCTTGGACTAGTAAAATCGAATAAAACGTAACTTGATGAAACATATGTTATTTTGTTTGCCTATGCAACTAGAACAAAGAAAGACATTAAATATTAAATATATTTTTAAAAGCTGGGAGTATCGAGTAATTGTGTAATATGTTTTTGAGGTTATGTCGTATTATTTAAACTGTAGCATTTTGAATTAGAGGTATTACAGTTGAAATATGTAAAGCACACGTCAGATAAAGCCTAATCGTAGTCCTAGAAGTGCATACTTTCACATAATACTTCAAACTTGCTCCATATTTGATAAATTATTTTTATTAACTAAGAAATAAAATCATTTTTTGTCAACATCATCAAATATCAAAAAACAATGAACATCAAAAAAAAAAAACTAGAATTTTTAAGATTGCTCTCAATAACTCTACTTTTCTATCTTACACTTTAACTTATATAAAGTAGTGGTGAAAATACTAATTTGAAAACGATATAGCAAAACAACATGTTGATTTTTCTTTTCTTTATTACAACTCAAATGAATGCCTCATCACGGAATGCTACATTCTGTTCGTGCTGGCCCATCCAAGATACCAAACTATGGTCATTATATGAGCACAGCATCCCAGTGTAGATCGACCAATTAGACAATTACAGTAGTGTTCTCTTATGCCATCTAACCCGGATGTGTCATTAATTATTCTTTAAAATGTACACATAATATTGTTTCCTCCCAATGTCTCGACTTAATTCTACTCCTTATTATTAGGACTTTATTTATATTTAAGTCTTTCTTAAGTCTTTATTTATATTTATATTCTAATAAATCCAGAAAATCCGATAGACCTCAATTCTATACTGCCCATGGAACCTAGTATGCTCCCCATAATACAGAAGATCATACAAAATCACCGCCAAAGTTACAAAACGGTCTGCGTAGAAACACGTCTACACATATTTGTCTAAAAAAGGGAGGTCGCAATCGATTGAATACTGTAATATCGATTCTTATGAATAATCATTTGTTTTTAATTTCATTATAAATAAACTATTTTCCTCTAAGTAACATCTAATTATATTAGTTATCTAATCTAAGTTTTATAATTTTCACGGCTTTATATGGTTAGTAAATAATATAAGATTTGTACCAAATTCGATTAGTAAGAAATAAAATCGATGTTGTTCTTTGAAAAAGAGGGACTTCTCTAGGAATGACATTATTAATAAGATGCGTTCAAAAATAACATAATTTAAACTGCGTTCTAAAAAATAAAGACATATTTTAAAGAGGATTATCTTTCTTTTCCCAGCTTTTAAAAATAAATTGTTGGTATATAATAATTACATTCAACTTATACTACATTTTGGTGATAGTTCCATCTTGGTACAAGAACTTTTTTTTCCGTAGTCCATTTTGACCATTGTTCTTTCTGAATCGCTTATGAATTTATTGCGAGATTGATCTTGGTATGAAAATGGGCGAGATCTCGCGAGTTTAACGAGATTACACTCGAACATAAAAGCGATTTATTCTAAGTGCGGCAGTGCGAATTTATGCGAGTCTATGGGGTTAAAAGGCGAAGATTTACACTTTTACAGTGCTTGTATTTTCGAAAGGGTCATCTCAGTGGCTGATTATCTGGCCAACACAATAATAAGACGAATAGCAAAGATTCTTTGGACATTTTGTGATTTTTAAGAAGCTACTTTCAAATTATTCGTAATAATTTCGTGTGAAGTGAACTGAATAAGCTTTTATATTGATTGGCATATTTTGCCAGTTTATTCTCTAATTTCTTATAGATCTCTGGGTACACATAGTTTTGTTTCATTGATAATAATCCCAGTCTCAGTTTAATAGTCAATTCAACCTATTTAATGTGTTTTATTTTAGTTTATGTATTTTTGTTATAAAAACTGTGTATTAAATTAAACGAAACTTTTGTTTGATATTAGCAGAGAATAGTGGTTGCTTATTTCATTCTAATACTATCAGGTGGAGATCGAATCTTCGTGAGAAATGCGCTGTGCCAGTGAAAAATGAAGTGCTTCCGAAATTAAGAGACTTTTCACCGGGACCGCCACTGGCACAAAACTCCCCGAGGGCGCCTGTCAACGTAGTCATCGCCGACTTCGTCGATATGGACAATGCCGTATTTCCGAAGACTATAATAGAACTCAATTTTAAATTACTGCGTAATACTGACACAGTATACCACAACGATGGCTGACAGGAATATTAGTACAAAATTGATAATATAAGTTATAAATAATGATCTTACATAATCAATCTTTACATGTACCTGGACTAGTTTATTTTTTACAGATTTTTTATGTTATATTTTTACTATGATGCAGTAGTGACTTAAAAGTGCCTTAAGAATCGATGTACATCTGACTGAAAATCCGTCAAGCGGTTCATAGAAGTAACGTATAAAGTACGCGGCGGATTTTCTGTTGAAGCAAGGTTAAATATCATAATTTATCAGTTGTTAAAGAAAGAAATTTACTTATACCACATACATAATCATAAACATATATTCAAGAACTTGGTAAAAAAAGAAAAAATACGAGGCCAAGATGGACCCCTTTCGCACTGCCGCACTTAGAATAATCAATCATAGATGGGCAAAATGATACTAAGGGCGCTGTTACTCTGTTTTGACTTTCCGTGACCGACAAGATGCGACGTATCTACCGTCAGATATGCACCGATCATAATAAGAAATTATTGATTTTGATGCGTTTACATATAAGGGAAAGGGAAAACCGAAACAATTAATGATTTAATAAATATTCATTATACAATATCTCGTTTTTCAGTGTTCACCAACACAATCACAAGGTGTGTATCAGTCAAATTGACGATTTACCGAAAACAGTATCACAAAAGTCATCCAACTTAATCTTTTCACATAAATCTTTAAATGACCACTTTTTCTTAGTTATTTGAATTTCATCAGTGCTGTCTAACGCTGCGAACAATTTGTTAGATAGCTCATCGGATATTTCAATAATTTTGCATATCTTATCGAGCCGTCCAATATCTTCCAAAGATGTCGTTAAATCACTAAGATCTAGTACTTGTGATTTCCTTTCATGTATCTGAAATGAATTATTCGAGTCCGTTCCACTAACGCTGTCGAGTTTATCATATATATCTTCTTTTCGACTATACGTTTCCACATTGCTTATTGTTAAACTCCTATTGCCTGGACTTCCACATTTAGATGTGCGATCAGAAACAATAGAATAACGCTCAGGGGATATTCGATCAGGTATGGACAATGATTTCATTATATCTTCATTATCACGGGGTAAAAATTTATTATCAATACTCTTATTAAAATTTAAGTCTACGACTTTTTTCTCACAGCATTTTAGCTCATTGCAGTCTTGTTCAACAGACAAATGTGATTTACTTGTTGATTTTTTTATGTTACCGTACAATTTACAAGTATTATTTAGTTCGCTTATTAACTTTTTTGAAATTTGCACCGAACTATTTGTTTTAATGACTGACTTAAATTCTTTATCACTGGTATTTGCATGTTGTATTTTTTCATCACGTTCTTCTTTTTTTATTCTTATACTTTTTATTACTTTGTCATTTCCTTCATTTTTATTAACCAGCGAAGTATCTTGGATTGTTATTAATGCATCCGTTTTTAAAAGTTTCCTTTTCAACGAATTCATTTGATTTTCAATCGGCTCTTGTTTCTCAAAACTCTTATTTTCATTGACCAGTGGAGTAGTTTTTGCTACTTTTATATCATCGCATGTCTTTGTTTTGTCCTTATTACCTTCTTTATTAATTTGCGTAACGACATCAAATATTGCACAGTTCCTGCTGTCATTTATGGGACTGCCATCGGATTTACAATCACCCATATTTTGAGTTAGATTACTACAATCTGATAATATTTCACGGCCGTTATCTAATTTTATATTATTTTCAGACAAATCTTTTTCTTTTTTATATTCAGTTTTTGAATGAAAAGTCTCTACATTAGATTTTTTAAGAAGACTTTCTGTTACATTTACCATCTTTGAGAATTCTTTTTTAAGCATCTCTAATCTATCTTTTGCTTTCACAGAGTCCATTTGTTCTATATTTTTTGGTGTTATTGATATACAACTATGAAAAAAACTATTTCTATTCTGTCGTACATCTGGTTTTAATAGCATTCTCTCTTCGTTCCATATTTTAAAGAACTCATTTCTCTTTGTAAGTGAAGTTTGTGTTTTGTTAGAGAGCTGTGGTGATAATGGTTTCTTTAAAACAATGTTTCTCGAACTATTAAATTTTAAACCAGTATCTTGCGATATGCTGCTCGATATTTCTTTTCGACTGCAATCAGTGTGCTGTTTACTACCTTTTTTCGTAACAGCGTTCGGTATATAGTGTACTGTACGCGATAAATTCTCGATGAAGACAATAGTGTCTATGACTCTGCATGCATACGAATATTCATTCTCGTACCAACATATAAGTTTAAAGAAATTGGTCTTCAGCTGTAAGCTAGAATCTGCATCTAATATACAGGAATGGGTTTCTCCTATAAAATCTGACGATACAGCGTTATCAATTGATATTCTTATAATGCCTTTTAGATCTGTCTTACTAGCGTTTTCTACTTTTTTAATTATTTCTTGCAATGTTGTATTCGAGTTTAATCTGAATAAGGGATAACACCTCTATGAATTACCGTATATATAGGAGATAACCATATATCTACGGTTAATCGTAAAATCCATTTTAAATAGAAAAAAAAGCGATTAAAATTTAAAGCCAGATTTCTACAATACATTAAGTATATAAAAAGCAATAAGTGATATCCTTTACCGTATAGTTATATCCAATACAGAGACATTGACAATGGGAACTCTAAACGCGAGCCCGCCCAACTTGTCTTTCACTTTAGGTATAATCTTACCGAGAGCCTTGCAGGCACCAGTCATCGCGGGTATTATGTTTTGATGGATACTCCTATGATCTCGCCAATGCTTTAGAAACAAAGATATATATTTAGTATTAGTTGCTAAAACTAATTATCTCTACATGTTAAACCGACTTTGATGCCGCAATAAGTAGGTATGTGTAAATTCTTCCAATGTCATTTGAACTCAACATTGTTACTCGTATTTAATATTAAGGCAAATATTACATATTGATAAATATTGTAACATTATTGATTGAGTTGATCTACTATGAAAAATAAAATTAACATGTTTTGTAGGTAAGTACATAGCACGCACGCATATACTATTTTTTATTTATTTATTCAACTTTGGTTTTATTTTGGGATATTTGCGCGCGTATTTTCGCTTTATAAAAATATAATTTTACCTAGTCTAGCCATAAATTCTATTACTGGCTGTTTACATACATTAAACAAAAACATTAATTTGAATTTCGAACATTAGCTTCTACGATAAAAATAGACTACTTTCCCGCCATTATTATATGTTTTTTTGTTTTGAAAATAAGATTGCAGTAATTACACTGTACAAAGTAGTTAAGGAGTCAGCCGATATTTTTGATACATTGAAAAACTTAGAGATTAGGCGAATGTTTGTGTATCGTACCATCCATAGGTAATCTGAAACCATGTCTGTTGATGATCGTGAGAGATTCGGCTGACCGCGGTCTATTCGAACAAAACAGGTCATTAATGCAGTCAAGGCAAGAATTCGTCGAAATCCCATAAGGAAGCAGAAAATCCTTTCCAGAAAAATGAGAATTCCACCGAGGACATTTTTTCGGATTACCAAATAAGACTTAGGTTTAGGGGCTTACCGGAAATACACAGGATATACCTTACTTCAGGCACTAAAAGAAAAGAGAGTCGAAAGATCAAAACAACTGTTACTTCGATACGCGGACGAAAAACTGAGAAAAAATCTCTTTACCGATGAAAAAAAAATTAAAATTGAGGAGCACCACATTAAAAAAAATGATCGATGCACAGAGCATGCGCACAGCTCTAAAGAAGCTGCCGAGCTAGTAGCCAAAATTCAGCGAGGCCATCATCCAGCATACGTCATGGATTGGAAAACTTCATTATTGCGAAAAAGTAGTGAAAACTTCAGCAAAAGTGCATCAAGATACAGTGTTAGAAGCTGTAGTTAAACCTCTCAACAACACCTTATCCAAAAACGAAATGTGGACATTTCAACAAAATTCAGCCCCAGTTCATAAGGCGCGCCCTACTCAAATTTGGCTTGAGCAAAATGTTCCAGTCTAATAAAGCTCTGATGATTGGCCTTCGGCTAGTCCGAACTTAAACCCCTTACAGCCAGTTGCACAAACGTTCATTAAAATTTTCATTAGGTTATAGCGACATTTCTCATATAAATTTGACATTCAATAGAACTTAAAGGCGTCATTAAACCTTAATGGACGTTTGTGCAACTGACCGTTAGCCTTTAAATTGTAGTCTGTGCTAGAGTACATGACCTGCTCTTAACGTCACCCAAATAATGAGTCGCTCAAGAATGCAAAGAATACAGAATGAATATTTGGAGGCAACAGTGACCATGTTTCCAATTAAGAAATAATCGGATATTTTCTTTGTAACAGAACTTATGGCTAGACTAGGTATTTTGGTGGGTGTTTGCGTTTTTGCGTACGGCCTATCAAGACACCCACCCTCCCCTTGTAAGAAAATAAGACACGTTTGACGCCCTTCCCTCACTACATCGTCGTACGTACCTAATAAAGGAATGATCACTAAGGCTAACTTACGATCGCGGTTATACCATCTATTTGAGATAAGAATATGTTCTTGCTTCATACTTTTTTCAACATAATTTATAATGATGAAATGTGTTTTTGTTTTATGTTTTTTACCTTTCCTCTTAAGCAGAGTCCATCAAGCGGTTTGAGCGAAGGCGTCATAGCGTGGATACTGGTGACAAATCCTTCGGCCAATCCAAACGAGTCTTCTAGCACCTTCACTATAGGAGCTAGACAGTACAAAGTACTCGAAGCACAAGATATCACCTTTTGACCTGTGTTATAGATTAAAAAAAAATGGTAATAAAAATGCTTAATAAATCCCTTTGACCTGTAATCTGAAATGTAATTTAAGAGCGCCAGGGACAAAGTGGATTAAGAATATTTTCTAGTATAAGTTCAAGAAATGAGAAAAACATGTAAGTTGTTCTTTTTAAATTGCTGGCGTGTACCCTATTTCTTGGATTTTTCAAAAAGCTTAGTAAATGATTCTTTCTTTCTGTATTTCTTTTTGGCAGTTCTTATCAGTAGAAGCGGCAAAGTATTATGTTATCAGTAAATTACTATAAAGTACTCGATACCTACAGGCATCGATATTTTATGTATCTTTCTAACACTACTTTGACATGACAGCTGATGATGTCACAGGCCAGTAAACAGAATCGTGATTGGTTGTAACGACGACCAATTATAGGACGTTTTCGTCGTTGAATAAATTCCTAAAAATACTGCATTTTCTTTATGTTATTTTACTAAATCTAAACGTGTTTTTCTGCAGATGTTAAGAAATAAGCTTAATTAAGTAGATTATTATCTATCAGGATGACCACAAAATGCAACTTATTTTCGATAGTGGCAAATACCCTATTGCTATATATACAATATGCATACAATGCCATACATACATACAGTTTTTTGATGTTTTCATACAACTCTACTGAGATCTACTATTAGGGGCATAGTGACAGATAATGTTATTTTAATATATATTTTTAAATGATTTTTTGTGCTGACTGCGTTCAACAATTCGGTTACAGTGGCCAATGAAATGAAAGTGGACTATGAAAGGAGTTTTTTAATATTTACCAGAATGTTCTAGCTTATCATCATTGACGCCGAGTATTAGCATAAAAACATCGACACTAGGCGCTGTAAGTATTACTCTTCTCACACTTTCACTTGCTAGATGACCCTAAAAGTTTGATTTCTTTTTTCAACTATTGCTAAAATTAAATTTACTTTGTCTGTCATTGATATTACTTTCAGTAACCAATTATGGTTATCAAATTTCAATACAATCAATATTTTCGGAAAAATAAACAATAAAAGACAGATATCCGAGCTTTTCTTTAGAGGTGGGGAACTCTTGTTAGACACATAACATTGCCGTATCATAAGAATTAAGTTTAAAATGCCAATAAATGACTGCGATTCGTAAACCTTCTGACAATTTCTAAATGCGCTAGTTATGTAGTCTCTCATAAAGTACCTACAGTTTACAGGCAGGTTAACCAGAGGGTTCATAACGCAAATTTCTCCAACTTGGTATAAACCTTAATGAATCTAAAGTTCAAAATTTGTTATGGAAATTGAACATTTTGTTAAAACCTCACGTACATGAACCTGATAAACTAAACGATATTTGAATTCGTCTTTGTACGGCAATCTTATAACATACAAAATTGTATGCAGTATTCTTTTATTTACCGATGCTTTCTCCAATGTGGTAAACATTCCAGAAGCTTCTATTACATAATGCACACCTGCAGTCTGCCATGGTATATTTGCGGGTACTTTCTCATGAAATATTTTAATACGCTTCTCTGTAAAAAGACAAGTAGCTTGTAAAACAAACAGGTATAATCATAATAGAAGCATTATAAAATAATAACGTGAAAGATAGTTGATACTGTACTCTTACAGTAAAATATTCGTAGTTTGTACTTTATTCGGAGATTGGAGATTCTTACACAAAATTCGTAGTTTGTACTTTATTCGGAGATTGGAGGGAAACAAAAGCTGATTTAAGTAGGCACTCGTAATATAATTTCAAATTAATATAAACCGCAGACATCAATAGCATTAGTTAGTGATCACCATACCGCACTGCGTTCTAATATTAAGTAGTAGGTTAGATATAGAGATGTAGGTATACTAACAAAACTACAAATCTTAACTAAATATAGTATGAAAAAAGTTGGATACATCATACATAATCGAAATTCCTATGCCTAAAAGTTAACACAACCACACCAAGGGCCCGTTACCTTTATTGCAGTCTCTCACTCTAAATAGATCGTGAACACCTTCCTTAAATTATAAGGGGAGGGGGCATCGACCATGTCTTATTTTGTCTTGCAAGGGAGGGGGAGAACGACTTAATAGTTCTTACGTAAAAGATCACAAAAACGCGCAAAGTAAAGATTAATAAACTTTATTATCATTTTTTGTTTTTCGTTTTGATTCTTATGAAATAAATAGGGGGAGGTCAGTAGATTCTTACTTTTCCTTAAAAAAGAGGGAGCCAGTGGCGGACTAAGACGGAGCGGAGGGGGAGGTTCGCCCTTGGTCTCGGATCCTGGAGGGCTTCCAAATGGCTGCAAATTCTTTTGATCAAATCGTTAATTTGGGTTAGAGGCTCCATAGACAAATAAGTACAGCCTGTAGGCAGGGGGGAGTGGCACAACTTGTCGATCCGGGCCTGATGCCGCCCTGGGCCTCTAATGGGATTAGTCCGCCACTGGATGGCGGAAAGGGTCATATCTAGCAAGAATCGTCGTAAATAATCAATGAATGACCCCATGATAAAGTAAGTAAAAATAGCAAGTAATTGAAATTTACATTTCTTTATGATACTTTCGAAACGCTAGATACTATGTACCGTATAAAGAGTATGTATAAAGAGCCTTCGACCTAAATTATTTTAACAAAATTAGAAAAGCGTTTCGACGTTACTCCACAGTTTTCTTTTTACTGGACGTCAGAGTAGATCTTATAAACTATATACATAGCTGTAGCTGGCTGATGTTCAGCATTCAATTTCTTGTAATAAAATAAAATACATCGTGTGGTACCCTTGGTATCGCTGTGTTCAAGTCCAAACTAAAATTGTATAATATCTACCATTGACAATAATTTCGTCTTTATTATGTGAAATACTGCCGATAAATTTCCCGTGTGTTGAATCAAATTTTATTAAGTAACAAATATACTGGACATCTATAGCCGGGTCATTGATTGCGGTTATCTGCAAATATATTAAATGTATTTTTAACCACTATATGTTAAGGTTCATAGATTGCTGCTCTTGTTTAGTTTGTTCAAGGGAGATAAAATAAGTACCTACCTCAAGATCCGGTTTCTGTAAACAGGCTCTTAATATCACTCGGCCGATGCGTCCGAAACCATTAATTCCTAATTGCATCTTTCCTTAAGACAATACTAAACAATTTAAAGTTCTATTGTGTATCAAATAAAAATAGGTAATGACATTTTGAATAGCCCGCCTTTCCAAAGAATATAGATTAGTCATTATTTAGTCAAAGAGAATATTTTCTCTTGCGTCTGCTGTCTGTGGTTGTCAATCATTGATCGCCCATCTCATGTTTATGGTTAAGCCAACTCCCCACAATAGCGTTGTCCGCTTGAAGCTTAAAAAATAGCATCACTATTATATTTTATCAATTAAACATTCACTATGCTATACTAGCAAATATTCTTAATGAAAATTGCTTAAATGATGTAAACATAAATTGAAGGTAATGGTGACAGCTAAACCGTACTGAAGTACAAAGAATTAAAGTTTAAGATTTGAACTTAAAAGTGGGCAAATATCTGTCATATTTAAAAAATTGGGATGCCTTTATTTTTCTCTGGTCTGAAGAGAGCAACGTGCTTTAAAATATACGATACAAAATGAGGTCCAGATGACTAAATAAAAGTATAGGTTAGAACCGCAAAATACAATTACTAATGACATTGTCAGTCTCATCAAATCGAGTTCATCCTCCTAGCTCCCGAGAAAGGCGATGGTAACTATTAATGGTCACTTCATGGTGTAATTCACTATAGCTTCTTTAAAAATTCATAGACATCAAAAAGAGCTTCTTCGATTAAACAAATATCTTATTTAAAATAGTTTTGATTATTCAGTAAGTACGAAAGGGCAATTTGATACTCTAACATTAATATTATAAAAAAAACAAACGCAACTAAAATCAGTTACTCATATAGCGTTTGTTGAATAGCAGCTCGTCACATCCTTACTTCATATCGACTTCTGACCTTCAGGCGAACGAATGACATTTCCGCATTTCCGATCTCCATCTTGCGGGGAGTGATCGTGTTGTGCTAATATTTGAGTATTTCACCCAATTTACCCGGTAAGTAACATATATAGTTAATTATCATTATTATGCAAATTGAAACATACCTTTAAATTGGTTACGAGGAATTTCATTATACACTGGATATCAATCTTTTTACGCAAGTAATACGTGTCGTATGATTTCATTTAAATATTTGACTTATTTCTATTATTACCATCAACTTACTATTTAGAATATATTAATTAAATGCGATCACTCAATATATATTCAATAAAAGTTTGTTTGAGGCAAATAATCGGTACGACTTTAAATGACCTCTATATGACCTCCGCTTGCCGGCACCCTGCCGGTAATTTGTATGGATGGAAGTCAGATTTATCAATGTGATTTCAAGGTCATAGTAATAACAGGCCCTTTACAAACGGGACTTTTCGAATATGCGAAGTACAATAATTTTGATTGTCCTATTTCCTTTTAAATTACATTGATTGTATCGAGGACGGCGGCGCTACGTGACCGTGACTGCGTTTAATCAAACAGTACTCTGTTTGTGATTACTGTATATATTAATAATCATCAAATTAAAAAAATTGACATTTTGTGTTTAACATAATGTATTTAGTATGTATATCTTAATGTTTTTCCTACTTATATTCTTGAATAATAATTAATGTATCTAGTTAGATACATAAAAAGATTTTATTTTTTAATAAGCATTGTAAGGAAAGTTGTATTTAATTTAATAGTTTTTGGGAATTCTGAATTCATATAATCAAGAGCTTCAAACATATTCCAATAAGATTCCAGTTAGCATAAATTAGTATTGCATCATTTTACTTATTTTATTGTTATTTTCTTATTACAGATATGTCTAAGATTGGTATCAACGGTTTTGGCCGTATTGGGCGTCTCGTACTCCGTGCGTCCATCGAGAAGGGTGCCCAGGTTGTTGCCATCAATGACCCCTTCATTGGGCTAGACTACATGGTTTACCTATTCAAATATGATTCCACACACGGTCGCTTCAAGGGGACTGTTGAAGTTCAAGATGGCAACCTTATTGTTAATGGAAATAAAATTGCTGTCTTCTCAGAAAGGGATCCAAAAGCTATCCCCTGGGGCAAGGCTGGAGCTGAATATGTTGTAGAGTCTACTGGTGTCTTTACTACCATTGAAAAAGCCTCTGCTCACTTGGAGGGTGGTGCCAAAAAGGTTATCATTTCTGCTCCCAGTGCTGATGCTCCCATGTATGTAGTTGGTGTTAACCTTGACTCTTATGACCCCTCAGCCAAGGTCATTTCTAATGCTTCCTGCACCACCAACTGTCTTGCTCCCCTTGCAAAGGTCATCCATGATAACTTTGAGATAATTGAGGGTCTCATGACCACAGTACATGCCACTACAGCAACCCAGAAGACTGTCGACGGCCCCTCTGGCAAATTGTGGCGTGATGGACGTGGCGCACAGCAAAATATCATTCCTGCTTCAACTGGTGCTGCTAAAGCTGTAGGCAAAGTCATTCCTGCTCTCAATGGTAAACTTACTGGTATGGCCTTCCGTGTCCCTGTTGCTAATGTGTCTGTTGTCGACCTCACTGTCCGCCTAGGAAAGCCTGCCTCCTATGACGCCATCAAGCAGAAGGTCAAGGAAGCTGCTGAAGGTCCCATGAAGGGCATTCTCGGTTACACTGAAGATCAAGTTGTGTCCACTGATTTTATTGGTGACACTCATTCCTCAATCTTTGATGCTGCTGCTGGTATCTCACTGAATGACAACTTTGTTAAACTTATCAGCTGGTATGATAATGAGTATGGATACTCTAGCAGAGTCATTGATCTCATTAAGTTCATCCAGTCAAAGGATTAAATATCATTATTAGTAGTGATAAAAATGCGTTTATTCGAGATTACTGATGCTTATGATTTAAGTTTTAATTATAGCTGTTTTAAAATCTAAATTATTTACTACTTTTGACAGTAGTGTAATGTTTGTTGTTTAAAAAATATATTGTTATTAAAGAACAATAACTGTATGTGTAAGTGTAACAGCAAAATAAATTAATATTAAATATCCTTTCTTTTATTTTGTAACCTAAATTTGGCTAGTTTCAATATCGAAAATTCATTAGATACTGAGGCCTAAAGTCTGTCTCGCGAGAGACGTCCTGTGGTATAACTTCCATTATAATAAAAGCGAAAACATTGTGAAACGAGAGACTTATTTCGTGAGACGAACTTTGTCTAATTTAAAAATCTATTTCAATCATTTTTAATTTGATATTTGCGGGAGATTTCATGAACTTTACGCCGCAGCTATTTGACATATGATAGCGATTGCACTAGAGATGTTTTTGTAAGATATTGGATGAACCCAAGAACCAAACTACGGTAGAACCATAAATTAAATAACTTGCGATAAACCATATCGTTAATTTGACCTTTATTGCAATTTTCGAAGGCAAGCGTAAGACGCAAATAATACTCTTGTTTGTATTATGTTTCTTGATCATTCAAATCTTCATTGGTTCTGAAAACTACACACTACATCTATGAAAGGGATTGTAAAAGATATTGAAATTAATGTGAAACGAAACTTTGGACAGGAAATGGAAACAATGGCACCTCGTGAATCTTGGAGAAAGTTATTAGAATACCTGGAACATATATAACGTAATTTTAAGTTTGTCCTTGAAGTTCTTTCATTTCAGAACCTCCTTTTTAAAGTTGGTTAAAAATAAAAAAATTATGTAAACGTAAATCAAATATTGGTATGTAAGGTCAACTAATATTTGATTAGCGGGTGGTGCACAGAATAAATAAAAAGGCCAGAACAATAAAGTGGATTGTTGTACCATCCATATGCCCTCAAAGTCATATGAACGTCACGTTGCTCATATGCCCCGTGTAATCTTTCATTCTTTTCAGTTTACATGTAAACATTAATTTATTTACTTGACAGTGGCAGAATTGTGCAAAATGTCTAGATAAGCCATTAATAAAATAAAAAAAGGAGTTATTTGCAAAATGTCAGTATGGAGGTGCGGCGCGAAATACGAAAATATGCCGCATTTGCGTAGTGAAAATGTCTCTGAAAAAAAGGAAGATTTTCTTTTCCTTAGTAAAAATTTAGGCCACTTTGAGTAAACGCTAATAGATAAATATCTATAAAATGAGATTTAATCACAAACGTTTTTCGACTAACGTGTCAGGGATTAACATAATAAATACATTTATTTATTAACAACAACATTAACATCGATCATTACATATTATCGATAGTACATAAATTCTCATATGGTGTAAAGTAATCAATCTACATGCAGTTATAAACATTACAGAAAAAAAAAATATTAGAAAAAAATAGTTCACAGCAAATTTGAAAAGAGCCGTGCCTGCCATATTACGAAAGAAAAAAAAATTTTGAAAAGATTTTTTTTTCATTTAAACTCAATACAATCCAATAAAAAAGGGGTTTTGTAAGTAAACTAAATAATATTTCCAAAACTTAACCAAATTAAATCAGCACTGCGATTCCGTAAAGATCCAGACCAGAATTAGAATTCACTCATGTGCTCAAATTCACTTTTTAAACTTAAAAAAAAATCCACTAAAGCATTGTTAATGCAAAATTAATCAAATTTCATATTATATATTCTAGCAAATTAATCAGGTTGTATCTTATGAACCGTGATAGTTGGACAATTTTACAGATGATGTATTTTTGTTGCCGCTATAACAACAAATACTAAAAACAGAATAAAATAAATATTTAAGGGAGGTCCCCTTAAATGATTTTTTTCTTGTTTCTATTACGGAAGCCTTCTTGCCCGATTCGGACTTGCAATTGGCATTGATTTTTTAACATCAACATTAACTCTCTAGTTAATGAAAATTAACAATGTCACCAATTATTTATAAATTTGTGGCAGCCAACTTCTGTACAAACTTACAGAAATCGCAGTTCCAAACTAGCAATTAGTTTGGTAATATTAAAAATCGGTCAATTGATATAATTCATCACATATATGCGGCATTTATATCTATTTATTTTTATGGCAGTTGCGGAATGGTATAAATAAAATAAATAATTTAGTACCTTAATTCAGTACCTTATAATAACCTATTTATCGATATATTGTTTTAATGCAGATATCTCGTTACATTACAATTTTACATTATAATGAAACATGTATACATGTTTTTTCAAATTTCAGTTTTTAATATGTTTATTAACGAAAATAACTGTTTTTGTAATTCGTTTCCTGCAAAAATCAACTTTTGCTAGAGTCGCCATCTAGTGGAGGTGCTTTTTTAATACTTTCTTTTTTTTAAATACTTCCTCATGACAAGTCATATACGTTCTATGAAGAATGTGTTGAGTAAAGCTAATATAATAAAGCAATTACTAAACTTCAAATCGATATGTATTTTTAAACTTGAAATTGAATTTTTATTTATTCTCATTCAAATCCACATTATTATTAAAAACTTTTATCAAAACTTATCCTTTTAAACTTATATCAACCGGCGTTCGAACCACAAGACGACCTCCGCAGCCGAATTGTTCGCACGCCGGTTTCAAGTTGTCTCCATCTCTAAGATCCCGGGTCGATTCCCGGTCGGATCAATCTAGAAAATGGACTTTTTTATATTGTTTGAGGTCTGGGTGTTATGTTACCTTCGTTGTCTCAAGTATTTGAGGATAATACCGGGGCTTTAGCTACTCGTTTTGAAAACTAATATTTAATATAATTAAAATTATTATTTAATATAATTATAATTTATTTTTAATCGTCTTACTCCGGAAACAATGAAATAGTGAACCAAATAATTCGGCCGAATATCCGGATTGGTGAACTTTAGACCGAATAGTATTCGGTATACTGTTTTGAGTTTAATAACTAGAGAAGCAATTCCATACAACAAACGCGCCAAAAAGCGTAGCACTTTTCCGAAATCAGGACGTAGCTTTGCAAATAATATTTATACTATATAATATAAATAGGTTTCTTATATTTGTCTCCCTCATATCTACGATTAAAATTTAAATTAAACAAAGACAGAATATGTGCGATATATCATGCGATTTTGGGTATGTTCCGATCGAGTACTTTGTGGTTCCGATATACACTGCGAGCACTACGCAGTGGTCTTACTGCTGAAAAATCCGTTCCGTTATGGACTGCCAGTACACTGCTACAGTACCCTAGGGAAATTTATGACGTCATAAATTACAGCCATATTTGTACTGTGAGCACTGGAGATTTCGAGGTAAGGTGCTCGCAGTGCTTTTGATCACGTGATCAGTCAAAACAGAATCAGAAAATGATGAGTTTCTAAATAAACAAAAAAAACGTTTATTATAAGATGGATTTAATTGATAAATAATTTTTTTATACAATTTTCTTTTGAAAAGAGGGAATCTTTATATTTATATTCACCTTGCATTTTTAAAAAGTATAACTAGCTATAAAGGAACGGGCTTCCAGTATACTAAATTGACGTCATACTGTTCAGTGGTCGCAGTGTATATCGGAACATACCCGGAAAAATGGGTAATTGATATTGTATTGCCAGCTGTCGAAAATTTCACCCATTATGATGATTGAATGAATGAACGAATAATGTAGATATATGTATAAAATCAATTCGATTTATGTAATAAATACTGTTACTTTGAAAATTTATTTGAAAATAACAATCACGAAAGTAGGCTCCGTGCATATAAATCGAATCGTGTCCCATTTGGACCCAAATACAAACAATCATAATTTTTTATTATTATTATTATTATTATACATGCAGGATACAAATGTAGAAAATATAACATGAATTATTATTTTTTATCGTAAGTATAAAAAAAAATTCTGTCCCTATACAGGGACAATGGGCTTAAGTGTGATATTTCTCGAAACATTCACTGTTTTCGATGCATAATGTTTTTACACATTTTTTTACATTGTCATCGTACTTTTTTATGGCAGATTACACAACGCAATTGATTTTGCAATCTTAGGGGAAAATGTCCAACTAGATCAGTAGCTACATCACGTACAACTGATGAAGGTTTACGCCGACGATCCTGACGTCCATCATTTTTCAAATAAAACCGCGCGGCAGTGCGACGGAACTGAAGCTGATCCATCTTCTCTTCATGGGCCAAAATATGAAGACGCCAGGCATTAGCAATAGCCAAATTTAACATGTAGGAAAAGATGACCCACCACCATTTTGTGCCCCGAATAGCTGATCTATACACAGCGACAGACTGGTCAGCTTGATCTACACCTCCCATCCCTTTGTTGTAATTTTGGAAAACGTGTGGTATATTTATGACTAACTTTTACTTTTCTTTAGTATCCCATCGCTTTACTTTTCCCAAAGGGAGAACACTGTCTAAATTGGTGCCCATTGTGGAAACGCTGTTATCAAGACATCGTACAAATAGAATTTTATTGACAACATCAAAACGGTAGTCATAAACCGCTCGCTTTCTTTTTTCATATCTTTGACTGATGCCAAAGGGCATTGTTTTGTTCGGTTTTCGCGTACCGTACCTTGTGCTCTAAATCCAGCCTCACGAAGTTCTTTCAGCAACCCAAAACTGGTAAAATAGTTATCGAAATAACGGCTTGAATTTTGTTCAACAACAACTTGCCCACTCTCGATCCCAAGGGTTCATTTTCGGTTGCCAACGTTGATTTCCCGCAGTATATGTCGAAACCATAACAGTAACCATCAGCACTAGCAATCATCCAGTTTTTAAAATAAAACTGCTTACCTTTAGGTAGATATCCTAGCCGAAATTTCCACTAACACAACAACAAATTTAAACAAGTTTTCATTAATTTTATCCAATAAAAACAAAAAGTTACACTACTCAGGATTAGAAATGCATCCGAAATGAATGTTTAACTAAAATAATAAAAATGTTGTGGGTAGTTAATTCACTGTCCCTGTATAGGGACGGCGAATCCAAATGGGTTTAGACAAAAACATTTGTCAAAGTTCATTAACGAATTTCACGCTTTGAAAAAAATCAATTAACTTTAAAAAAATTAAAGCAATTTAGCATCTGTGTGCGTGTATGATAAAATTATCAACACAATTTGCGCAGTTTCCTATACTAAAGCTAAGCTAAGCCATAGCATCAATTAAAACAAGATATGTATTTAGATAAATTATAGCCACGTAAAATAAAAAGAAAAGTCTCCCATATAGTTGGGAAAATTTAAAGTAAATAGCAGTGGCAAAACTGACGATAAAATGTCAAATTTTTATTTGTGAAAATTAAATATTTTTATTTTATAAACTTGCTTTAATTTTGATTTTATTGACAAAAATGTTAATGACTTAAGTGTGAAACTTATTATTCTTCCGTATAATACGTACTTGAGAGAGAGAATCGTATATTATCCACTGTTTTTCTTCGTTTTTGAGGAGCATTTTTTTGTACTTTCTCGGCGGGAGTTGAATGAGTATTGAAGTGAAAAACGAAAAAACTAAGACAAAAAAACTTAGTTTTAGTAGCTTCAGATTTTTGGTAGAGTTTGGCAAGCGAAACGTGACACCACCTATTTTTCCGTTTTCATATGGCAACAACATAGAACTGTCAGTTTGACACTACGTTAGACAATTCAAGAATATTGAATTTTGTTGTTTTTGCGAATTTGAACTTGTGTTTTTGGTTAAAAATTATGTCGAAGCCGATAAAAAGTTCATCGAGGAAACTTCTTTCCATCATGATTGACAAGTTTACTGAAGTGAAAACTGAATTAAATAAAAATTTCATGGAGAAATTACAACGATTAGATAAAGTTGTATCTTTTTTAGGTTAGTTTTGTATTATAATTTTGATACTTTCGTTTTAATTTTCTGTAATTAACTAAACAGATATTTTTTATAAAATATTGCTCTATTTCAGATAACTGTGATGGTGATATTCAACCAATAATGGAGGAGATAAATGCAATAAAAAGTTTAACTTTAGAAAAACAAGAAATGCTGAATTCGGAAACGCAGTACTTACAAAAAATTTCTTCAATGACAGGTCTCTTTTCTTGTTTTGATTTAAGATAGATTGATAGTATTCCTATAATATTTACATAGGTTTTTTATGATGTATTGGTTTTTATTGTTGACATCCAATGATGTCATAAGAATGTTTTGTTTAACAAGGAAATTCACAGAATTCATGAAACTAATCAAACCATGTAATTGTTATACATGCTAAATATGCACATAAACTTAACTAAATTAAACATAAATTGCATTCATAGTTGAATAGGTATTTAAATTATTTTGATGTATGTGTCTATCATTATTTGCTTTTAAATACATTTAACATATCTTTGTTTCAAAGTGTTTAATCTTTTATAGACGTAAGTATAAGGACACTAAGAAGGATAAAAAATGAAGCATTAATTAATAAAGGAAAATGGGACACTCCTGGGAAAAAACGACCTCATCAACCAACAGTGTCTGCTTTAGATAATTTTGATTTAAGTGCAATTCGGAATAAAGTAAATGAATTTTACTGTGTGAAAAAAATTGTTCCAACATTAAGAAGCCTTCACAATGAATTAAAAGATGCAATAGGATTCAGTGGTAGCCGTGAGACTTTACGAAAAATTATGCTTAAGAATGGATTTTCTTTTAAAAGCAATGAAAATGAACGTTCTATGCTTATAGAAAAATACCAGATTTCTGCATGGAGGCACAAGTATTTGAGAGAAATAAATATAAAACGAAACGAAGGAAAGCAAATTGTGTACCTTGATGAAACTTATGTACATCAGAATTATAAAGTTAAAAAGTCTTGGCAAGGACCTTCAACAACTGGTGTCACTACAAAGATATCCTCTGGAAAACGGCATATTGTTGTGCATGCTGGATCTGAGGAAGGTTTTGTGCCTGGTGCATTATTAGTGTTCAGTAGTAAATCCAAATCTGCTGATTATCATGATGATATGAACTCATCGAACTTTATGAAATGGGTCAGAGAAAAATTAATACCAAATTTAAGTAAGCCCAGTGTAATTGTTATGGATAATGCCAGCTACCATATAAAACAAATCAATAAACCGCCTATAATGTCTAATACCAAAGCAGATATCCGTAAATGGCTTGTAAATAATGGAATACATTTTGAGGAATATCAGACAAAGGCAGAGTTAATGTGTTTGGTTAATGATAAGAAAACATTGCCTGTATATGAAGCTGAAGAGATTTTAAAAGAACATAATCATGAACTTTTATTGCTGCCACCGTATCATTGTGACTTAAACCCAATAGAGATGGTTTGGAGTCAAGCAAAAAGAAAAATTGCAAGCAGAAACATTGGAATACCAGGAAAGGAAATGGAAAACTTAATAATAGAGTGTTTTAACTTAATTACCCCTAGTGACTGGAAGAAATACACTGATCATGTTTTAAATGTCGAAAATGATTACAAATTAAAAGATGGCATTGTTGAAAACGAACTTGAAAAATTTATTATATCTGTTGGTGCAGACAGTAGTGAAGAGAGTGACTCTGATGATTCCTTGTCATTGTTATCAGGTGTAGAATATTTAGAAACAGATTTTGACTATGAATCAGACTAAAGTATTTTTAGTCTGATTCATAGTCAAAATCTTATCTTAAATTTTCTATTGTGATTAACATGATGATTTTGTGACACCTGTATTATGTAATTTATCCATGGCACTTAATTGTAACAAAAATAAATGTTTTTTTTATTGTAATCTGGTGTTTATATTGACTAATTTAATTTGATAGATAGTGGTTCTGGATCAGAGCAAAAGGTTGTGATGAAAATCCCTTAGGAGACATGTATGTGTTATGAACACATTATAAATATAAGGGCCAGAAATCAAAATTGGCTAACATCACATTTATTAAAAAAATGTGGCCAGAGTCGCCCATATTCATTACAAAAAAACAAAGAAGTCGTTGCAAAAAACACCCTTTTAATTAATGACAAATATGAATTTTTAATATTATAAGTGCTGTTAGCCAATAGGTATAACGAATGGGTTAAAAAAAAGATTCGATTTAGTCCGTCAGTCAGATAATAGAAAAATATTGGATACGTATTTTTTTTCGCTTTAATTTAACAACAAATGGCTTAAGAGGTACTATGCGACGACTTCAAATATGCTTTGCAACAATGTTACTTTAATACAGTTTATCGATACGAAATCAAGTGTCAAAATGGAGTCCAGTGGAGAATGCCGATATTGACATTTCGAAATTGCTCATCATTGATAGAGAATACGAAATAGTGATTTTGACACAATCAAAGTGTCTATTTTTTACGGTGATGACGATTCTTGGTTGTCAGTTGAGTTAGTGAATAGGCCTACTGATATGCTGTTAACTGTACAATTAAGAACAGTCACGCTTTAGTCAAATGTTCCAAAACAAATAATTTTAATTGATATCTAAATGTTAAGATTAAATATAATTAATAAAAGTATCAAAATTATTTTGCAGTACTACATTCAGTGTTTACTGCTTAAGAATTTTTGAAATTGCCGCCCTTTTCTTGTGACACGTTTCGCTTGCCAGACTCTAATATCATTGTTCGCCGCATTATTATAAGTAGACTATCTTTTATATTTCATCATATTAATCTTAATCAGACCATTTAATAAATGATCTGATTATTTTATCAGACGTGGTCTGCTCTCTCTCTCTTATGTACAGTCAACAGCACGTCAGGACATGTTTCAAATTTTCCCACATATTTTGTATCGTAATGCGTTAGTATTAGATGTCAAAATCGTTTATGGATGTTGACATAAAAGTTGAGAGATGTCTTGAGGCCTGGCTTTTATACTACATTTAAAAAAAACGTTGGTGTAACCCTCTTTCCAAAATTTCAGGAAGTCCCCAGATGCTGTATAGCGACCGTTATTTTTAGACCAAAAAAATAAACTTAAGTGTGGACTTGACTTAGAAAGAAATATTTTATTTAGAATCCTCCTTTGCTTTGTAAATGTATTTTATTAAAACTAAAGGTAAATATCGATATCATTATCGTTGTCATTGTATCATAAAACATCACTATAAAATAATGGCTGTCCTGATTTTGATGTGAGTTAGCAGCTGTCAGTGACATTTCGTTTGCTTCGTGTAAATCTTGTGATGTTCGAGTTACGAATCCGTCTATTTCAATGAATAATGGTGCACATTAATAGATAATGTATATTTTTTTTTGCTTATTTTACTGTTTATCATTAGAACTGTGTTAAAGTCTTTATTATTGTGATTATACTTTATAATGGAGGATCTAAACTTGACAGAAACCGAAATGAGATATTTCGGTGATTTGTTTTTATGTTGTGATGAAGAATCAAACGGGAAAATACCAATTTTAAAAGCGACTGAATTATTTAGATCGTCTAATATATCAAATGATGCCCTTAAACAGGTTAGTAGAGTTTCCGATAAGCTTACTAAAATTATTTGATAACAATATCAATTAAAACAGTTACCTGTTACAGATCATGGACATCAGTGTTGCTCCAAACAATTGTGCTTCACTAAATCATATGAATAGAAAACAATTTTATTCAGCTTTAAAATTAATAGCTGCACATCAAACTAACATGATGTTGAAGCCAGAATTAGTGTCAGCTTCTTTAGACCTTCCTTTGCCTAGGTTTACATGGGCACTTAATTCTGAAGCTAATGTTGATCTAATACAATTATCCAATTCACCAAAGGAGCAACATATTCCAAAAGAAAGAAACTTTGTTGGTAAAATAGGTGCTTACGAGCCAATTCGACTGTCATCAAACTTGTCTGACAGTGATGTTCCTCAAACATTGTCACATGAGGCTACAGAGGCATTGAGTACTGACTCTGAAATGGAGTCAGAAACTATGTCTCAAAGATCAGGATCACGAGGGGTGAGTAAGATTGGAGTAAATACTGTACATATTCTAATTTTATTTACCTGTCACTGAGCTTTTGTCATGTTGATTGGTATTAATAGGTTCGTTGCCACAATATTTTGTTATTATGCTGGTGTCAAAAGTGACTATATAGATTTTACTAGAAGTGAGACCGCACTGGTGTGTGGTTGACCTCTCATATGAGTTCTACAGCCCACACCAGTGCTGGGGTAGCAGCAAAAATTGTAAAAATCTTAATAAATTTATCTACTTTTTTTTACGTTTAGTACAAGGCAATTAGATATTCTACCATTGTTTTGTTTATAATGCCATTTTATAATACTATTATTTACGTCTGCATTTGCATGTTGATGCAACCTATAATTAAAACATTCATAATAGTTTGTGTCATTATAATTAATTATCGTATTAATATATATATATACCTAAATAAAAAGTTGATTAGATATAGAAATTGATAAATACTTAATGATAATTGACTAGAATCAGTTTGTTCTTGATGATTTTCATTTGAAAGCAATGTTATGCACAGTCAATAACACATCATGCTATATAAAACTGTCAAATATTTATTTATATAATACTTAACATTGATGGGAGTAAAGTGTTGAAAACTGAATTTACATACATCTTTATTTCTGAGACTCTGGCACTTATTGCAGTGAGTTTAGTCATATGAATTAGCATGAAACCTGCATGGCCTATACTATTTCTGTTAAAACTAAAAATTTCATAAAGTTTCAAAAGAAATGCAATTTCTGATAATTTATAATGGAACAGGAATAGGACCTGATACTAAGAACAATTAGAAATTTTCTAAATTTTAATAAGGCCTCAGCTGTAATGTTAATTTGTACAAGTAGTATGTGACAATCTTGCAATTTGACTTAGTTTTTATATGTTGATGTAGTCTATTTTTAATTTCATAGATTGTTTAAATAATGATTGGTATTATTTCTTATATACTGCTATCTTGTGGATTTATATTGTTGTTTTAAAAGTAGATTTAAAATTATAAATGGAATGATCACATGATTTTAATTGTTTTCAATTTGACACTAAGGAGGAAAGTAGATAATTGATAATACAACATTACTGAGTTTAGACTAAACTAACCAGTGCTTTGGATTTTAAAACAATTAGTATTGTTTGATAGTTGTGGTTGGTGTGCTCATGCAGAATATCACTTATACTAGGTACTTATACTCATTGTGAGTCACAAAAAAACAAGAATTAAATGTTAATTAAGTCTCAAAGTACCAAGGACAAAGTCAATTTTTAAGCATTTTTTATTAAGAATATTTTCAATATAGGATTTTGAACGCAAATTTGATCAATTATAATAATAATTACTATATGCTCACTATCCTTAACAATAATAATAATTTACATTTTGAGTAATTTTTATAACATTACTATTATCTGTTAATTAGTAGACTATAAATTATAAAACAACCATTTAATATATCTATGAGTGTTTTTTGAGCATGTTATTAATTGTGGATTTGTTCAGCAGCACAGAGGGAAAAATGGTTCGCCCTGGAGCACTGCTAGTGAGAGTCCCACACCAACAAACAGTGTTGCAGAGCGAGTACATCCAGTATGGGAACACAGTGCTACCGGTCGAGGTGTCTGGCCTACTAATACTGGAGAAGAACATACAAGGCTTTTGGGTACTATAAATTTTAATAGTGTAACACTGAGCAATTTGTAGTAGTGGTCCAATAAACAAGTTAATCTATCCATCTATCTGACATTAAATATGAATTACTGGAAATATATACTATATTTTGAATAACTTTTGATTGTTTTTATCATCAATATTCTAGTGAGTAGAAAGATTATCTTGTCTTAAGGTTATCAAACCTTAAAACTTATTTTTAGAGGTCTCGGGTTTGATTCTGTCAAAAGTAACTTAGATTGGTATTATATTTAACATTTGTTTGAGAATAAATTACCATATTACATTGAACTTTTAAAAAACTACCATAGGCATGGCTTGCACTCCAGTTAGGTGTCGCCATCTCTGTGCCTCTGAGGTACCGGATATTTTGATCACCAGTCTCATCAAAGTAGCAAATATTTTTTTCTATATTGTCTCAGATCTGGGTGCACTGATAACTCCATTGTTTGAAATAATTCCTAACATGTATATGTATCCTCATTATCGCTTTAGCTTGCTACTTGTTTTGGAATCTCAGCAATGTATGATGGCGTTATCTACTATTTATTTTATTTCTCTGAATCCAGAATATAGTTCGACGTTTTGTATAATAAATTTTCTTTCATTTGCTACAACCCTGTTCAAATATTTGTTTCTTAATGCCCTTGGATTGTGTCAAGGTCAAACCTCAGTTCAATGACGAAATGAGTGTAATATTCTTTAAGAGTGTCGGTTTTGTTAAATTTTCTAATTCCAACTGATGTCCAATTATCTAGCTAGTTCTTGATAAATAGAAGCTACTGTGGCCTAGCATTTATACCGGCTGACTTTAGAACTATAATAGATTATAATTTGTCTTTATTAAACTTAAGCACAGCACGCATTCTAGTGCGAAACAGTTCGCGCCAATAAAAGTTTTTAACGTCTCGCTAATTATAATTGATGAGAATCTTTTTGTGTGTTAATCACTTGGGCTCCATTATGAGGACTCGTATTATTCATAGTGTCGGAAACTGGTTTCATAGACTGAATATGTTCTCGCACTGTAGAAAAAATCATTTCTATATATTGTCTTGAGTCTAGATGTTTGGGTACCTATGCTGTTTCATATTTTTATAATGCTAATGCTATAGCAACTTTAATTTGGGATCTAAATAGGATAATGTGATGTCTTTATATTTATTTATCTGGTTTTTTGTCATTAAAATAACATAATCTACAGGTACGGAGGAAGAATCTTCAGACCGACACTCATCTGAAGAGGAGGGTGACACAGAAGTTCGCACCGATCTATGGGCCATCAGCGATGCCCAAGCGCATCATTATGCGGCACAGTTTGCTCAGCTGAGACCCGAGCGAGGGCTGCTTTCTGGACAGACTGCTAGGTATGAGAATTAAAAGTACTACTTATATCATGATTCTTTATGATTGATAGCTATACATAGATTTTACATTGAATTAGTCAATATCTAGTGAACAGACAGAAGTATTTATACATACTAAAAATTCTTTAATAGGTATAAGCAGCGATTCCAAAAAGAAACCTTGATATCATCTTGTTTAGAAACAGAAGCATGTATACGTTTTTCAAATAAATTAGAAATGATTATGTGACAAAACATGAATTCCTGTATCATACAAATTTCATATTTTAATTACAGATTGTTCTTCGAAAAATCGCGACTTTCCGTTCCGGACCTGCGCAAGATATGGCAACTAGCCGACATCAACAAAGACGGAATGCTAACTTTAGAGGAATTCAGCATAGCGATGCACCTGATAGTGCTCAGGCGGAACGACGTGCCCGTGCCTGACTCGCTCCCGGCCTGCCTCGTGCCTAAGGTAGACTCCCGCTTCTCCCAGCAGGCCGTCACCACCAATCTCGTCGACCTCTGGGCGGACGTGTTCAGCTCCGGCTCCTCCGCGGACTTCGGTTTCGTCAACAAAGCGGAGACGGTGGATCACTTCGACGGAAAGACACCGAAGAAGCCCGAAGACCGGCAGCCCTCGCTGTCCCCCCCGAAACCGGAACCCCAGGCGAACAATAAAGAGTGGACCAAGTTCGTCGATTCGCCGACGTCGAGCGTATCGAGCCCCGGCCCGAAGCCGGTCAATTTCGATTTCCACAAATCGGCCGTCGAGCGCGATCCGAAAATATACCACCCGGTCGCGTTGCGGGTGACACCCGACGCGAACGCTCTACCGTCCGGGCACGGGGAGGGCGACGTGCGCTCGAGCGCGTCCCCGCGGCGGGACGAGTTCGCGCACGCGTTCGACTCGGCCAGCCCGATGCGGCTGACCTCGCAGCCGCCGACCGAGCCACCCCCGCCGAACGGGCAGGAGATCAAGTCGATCCAGCGCCCGCAGCCGAAGAAGCCGGTGAAGAGCGCGAGCGTGCTGCCGCCGCCGCCGGCACGCGAGCCCTCCGTGCACGCGGACGACGGCCCGCAGTCGCTGCAGTACGCACCCAAGAAGGAGCCGCCCCCGCCCCCGCCGCCGCGCCCCCTCCGCAACCACGCCCGCTCCAGCTCGCTAGACTTGACCAAGCTGAAGGGCCCGCCCCCGCCGCAGCCGCCCCCTCGCACCTCGCCGCCCGCCGCCCGCGCGCCGCCCCAGCAGCGGGTGGAAAACGAGCCGGCGTTCCCTCCGGACGCATTCGCGCCGCGCGAGTACGAAGGCGAAGGGTTCGGATATAACCGCGAGGACGCTCCGAAGATGCATGGCGCGTTCGAAGTGTACCGGAAGCCGTCGAGGGAGCCGTCGTGCGAGGCGGAGCCGGACGTGAAGGCGCTGCAGGAGCAGAACGCGGTGCTGCACCGCGTGTGCCGCGCGCTGGTCGCCGAGCTGGCGGACGTGCAGCGGGAGCGGCACACGCTCAAGGTGCGCCTGCAGGCACACGACGCCGCCCTCTAGTCACCCCCCACCCCCCATCCCTCGAACGTAACAGAAATGCGCGGTGTCACCCCGTCGACGTGTAACCTAAAGTTGAAGAGGGCTATGAAACAGAATCGTTCGTGTATACGCATACGCGTTGATCGGCAACGATCGTGTCCACCCGCCGCGGTCGATACGATACGATCAAAAAAATCACGAACCGGTTGATTGTTCAAATTTAATCGATCGCTACAGAATGACAGACTGTGTTATTGTGGCGAACGAATCCGGTCGCTGAACGATCGATTCTTTGAGAAAGAAATTGACGTTGAGACTGCAGGCTTCATTATATTTTTTGACATTATCCGTTCTAACGTTACGTTATCGACATTTTTAAAACTAAATAAAATCTATTAATAATTGTCTGACTCTCGATGCCTGAAGTTTAAAATCAACTTGAGTAATTTCACAGTTGGATGACATGATGCTGTTTAATACGCTTCGTTCAAATATCGCAATATTGTATAAAAGATAATTTTATTCTTACAATTTACAGATACATTTCATTCTTGTAAATTATGGATTTGGCCAACACATCTCAAAAACGAATATGCTAAAACTTTATGAACAGTGAAAAAATAAGCTTATTCTGTCTTCATCATTTACATGAGCTTCTTTATATAAAAACATATCCTATTCTTAATTTAGTTGAAACAGATTATTGTGATAAATTTAAATTTCTTTGAGAAAGAAAGAAATAAATAAATAAATAAATAAATATTTAACAACATCACATACATTGCTCAGATTCCAAGATGAGTAGCTAAAGCCCCCGTATTATGGAGTATCTGAGACAACGAAGGTACCACAACACCCAGACTTGAGTCAATATAGAAAAGCTCATTTTCTAAATTGACCCGACCGGGAATCGAACCCGGGAACTCTCCCTATCTCTTTTATTTACCTAAATCATAATTATCATAAAGAAATTACAATCATCACAAAATTTTAGTTTGTCAATCAAGTATGAATAGGCAATTTATTATTGGAGATTAAATTATGTTAATAATTTCATATAAAGAGGCTATTCAATTACTGTCATATTTTTGTGTGTTTGTGCGGTTCTTGTTTATTCCTTTAAAAAAAAAAACAATTCTATTATAAACTAGCTGTGCCCGCGACTTTGTCCGCGTGGAAAATAGTCTAAGTTACCCCTTATTGCATAAACTATCTGCCAGTGTAAGTCCCGTCAAAGCAGATAGACAAAATAATTAAAATAATGTTTTATTCGTACCATATATACAATTTGTATTCAGTGAAAAGCGGTTATATTAATATAACACAGAGACACTCTGATTTTATTTATTTGTATAGATATCGATTCAAGGATTTATCTTTCCAAAGTCAGTGTTTAGAACGAATGCATTATGCAAAAAAATGTGATGGCGTCTACATATATGTATGTTATTTAAACAGTCTATCGACACTGATGTAAAAATAATAAAAACAGTGATTGTATGTATTAACTATTTCTTGAAAACACTGGTATTGAAAAGCTCTATTGGATGCTTGATGGAGTGTAACTCTCGCTAACTCTAGCCAGTAGCTATAAAAAAATTACTTTATCAATGAAAATATTGATATTCTTTTAGAAGGATATATTTATATACATTAAATTCGAACATTTTATTTTGTTTTAGTTTTCGAAATAGCTTTGTTTGTTGAAATTTGACTTTTTAAATTGAGTTAAACTAATAAAGTTGTTGGAAAATTACATCAACCAAAATCATTAAATATGTAAATAATAAAGTCAAGAATATTAGAATATAAAGACTTTTGTTGATAATATCATTAAAACGTTTTTATAGCTATGACTAGAGTAATGGCGAAATAAGTATTTATGGTGCAAAGCTCTTGTGGAAATGGTAACTTGCTTTTTTTAACAAGTGTTAAACCATCGTTTGACGAAATCTCATAAATATCAATATCCTACGGTATTGCAAGCTCTAAATGTAATCCCATATACTTAATTTAATTTCAAAGACGAGAATCAGCTGTTCCAAAATAAACACTGAATATGCCGTTTTTATAATCATCATCAGCCCTTTTACGTCCCCGCTGCAGGGGCTCAGGCCCATGCCATGACCCTCCACGCTGGCCCAATACTAATTCAGGGGTACAAATGACTGCATTTTTCGATCAACCGTTCCGTGACCTACTTTTGCGAAAGTTGATTAGCAGCATCGATCACGGATCGCGGTATATATCGATCACGCCACCTAGCTACATTTTTTATAAAACATTACCATCGATTCGGTGTTTTGTATACAACTAATTAAATCAATGACATTGGCATAAGAACGAACGTTACGAAATATGTAGTATCTTGACTTGGTCACTTACGCCAGATGGAGTTGTAGTGCAGACGAGACTAGCTGGAAAGTTTAATAGAAATGAAAAAGTAAAATAATGAAATGCTATTTAGTCCGAAAGTCCGATTTTTAATAAGAATATTTTCCAGTATAGCAATGAGACTGCAAAATTGATCAAATATAAAAAAAAGAAAAATAGGTTTCAATTTAATAATAAATGACTTCGTTAATAGTCATTAAAACGGTCCCTACGTCATAACTATGTAGAAGATTTACAAGTTATCACAACATGTGACATTTTAACTCGATGTAACGCCGCAATTAAATGATCGGGCAAAAAAAAGCGTTTAATTTTTTTCAATAATCTATCTAATGGACAAAAAATATTTTATATTATTTTAATAAGCTTAGAATATTATGCGAAATCCCTTAATGAAAAAAAATTGATGTGTTTGTCTACGCAGTTTTTTTCCTTCCTTTGAAATTAAAAAAGAAAATACTATTCTGTTATAAATTTGCTGTAAAACTGTAAATAAAGTTTAATGACGCCATAGTTATCTAAAACTGCTAAAATTTTAGTTAATTATTATGCGCAATTAAATTATATTACATCTTGTGATTATGAAGAGTTCATCAATATTAACTACCTTACCAATAAACAACATATAAGCGTTGTATAGTTAGTTATACAGTGTTTTGTCTTTTTCACTCAAACTGAAACTCGCATTGGAATGATGTGAAGAGAGCTACATGTAACTAAACAACCGTTTCTTATTAGTAAGAGAGTACGCACTATGAAGTTTTTACTGCACGGCAAACTAAATGAAAACAAAATGAAATGCCTATATCAAGAATCTGCGGCGCGAAATTGACCTCTTGCGATGTGAACCTCAGTGAGTTTGTGCTAAGACTATATTTTTATTATTATTTCAGTATATTTAGAATGGTTGTGTCTATAACTTTAACCCTTCCAATACAGCTAACATTTAAATTATCACTATATAATTTTGTAAAGAACATTGAAAAGATGTGATGTCTACAATGTCTTAACTATATTTTATTTGAATATGGCATTTACCCAAATAATTATACCTTATGTATGCATGCAATATGTACGATATTGGATAATATTTTATAAAAGATATAACTATTATTGTATATTTATTTTTAGTGAGTAACGCTAAATTGCGTTGATAGCATTCCTTTTGTTTATTAAAATATGATTTACTCTACAATAATTGTAAAATAATAAAAGAAAAAATATGTACCTACCATCAAAAAAATTGTGAATGTTGTATAAATGCTTTAGTATATAGGGAATGTATAAATGAGAAAATATGTAAAGACTATGTCCAAGACTAGATACGTATGTGAGGCGGTTGGTAACATACGAGCTAGTGAAACCAACAGAGGATTTGTTATAAACAATTAACATATACATAAATTATAGTTCTAGTATTTACAAAAGTGAGAGATCACTCTGTATTATATAATAAGATTATTGTAAAAGTATTTATCTTTTATTTTAGTGGTATTATTAAGACTATTAATCACCTAAAGCAGTCTGCAATTTGTATTGTAAATATAAAGTTTTTTTTTTTATGCCCCTTATATATATTTAAAACCTGTATGTTTTAGCTTAATACGTATCGCGCGATTCTAATATAGTGACAGATACAAGGTCACAGGTCACTGTAAATAATAAGGTTAAAATATTAAAAACCAAGGAGTTTAGATTTAATTGAATAGTTTTTACATTAATCTGTTTTACAATAACAATGGTAACATTGTTATATTTGAACTTTTAACAAGGATATTCTTATCACATAATTATTATATTATTATCTGCTTTTATATTATAGGCGTAAACGTGAGCTACTATCGCGCGATCTTACCATGTCGTCTACAATTTGGTCCAATTTTATACTAATATCTTACCATTTATGTTTCGTAAAATTTATACAGTACTGCTTAAATATGTAGTATATATGTAGTATAATAAATTTGTTTCCAAATTTTATTCGCTTTTTTATTTCGATCTATTAACATTGCATTACTCATTAGCAGTTAGCTTAGGTATCTGTGGCTTAGGCAAGATTTGGCCTTAATTTCATTTATGAAAATATTCGATAAATTAAGAAATATCATTTTTAAGAATTTAAACTTCTTATCTTAGATGCAGCATAATAAAATTATTCGAATTATTTGAACAACGAACTTAATATAATTCAGAAATCAAATAAATCACCATATTGCTATAGAAATATAATTTCTTTCTTAGAAACATATAAACATATTCATTGACAAAAACCACAGATAAGAACAAGAAAATGTTTCTTTAATATAGATTTTGCTTTAGCTTTAATTGAGCCTGAGATATTATAAAAACTTATTTTTTTTACGTTTACTCATCCTAGAATCAAGATACCGAGAACAGTGTCAAAACGTAATAATTTCAGTTATAACACTATTCTTATACATTTACGTGCTCACACGCTGTTTTCAATAATGAATAATATAAATAAGCACTAATTAAATCGTATAATGTTGATAGGATTGTGCTGACTTTCATATTTTATTCAGCAAAAGAAGCGTGTTAGACGTGACTATATTTGATATATGAGATACATCGGATTTATGTTAGAAGGTGTAATGGTAATATTCGCCGTCGACGCCATCTCAGTCACTCACCTAATTTCAGTGTTTCACTATCCGCGTCGGCATTATTTTACATTATGATAAAGATTATAGTAATATTTGCAACTGTCAACAGCTTGGTATATGGCGACGTTAATACAGCTTTATCGTGTGCAAAGATTAATGTTAAAGAATGTCAAGGTATCGGCTATAACTACACTACGTTATCCAGCCGCAGAGACATATCCAGACAGAAGTCTTTCTCAGATATTATGACGAATGTTCATCCGTACGTAAGATCAGAGTGCTCTCCACAATTTGACTTCCTTTTGTGCACTGCCTACTTCCCCATGTGTATCGATGGTAAACCACCCATCGGCCCATGCAGGGCTTTCTGTCAGAAGGTTAGAGATGACTGCGAGGTTGTCCTGAAACTGTCGGGACACAAATGGCCAGAAGATTTGGACTGCTCGCGATTTTATGGGGAAAATGATCATATGAATTTGTGCATTGTGTCAAATAAGTTTTGTGTAGTGTAATAAAGTTGGCTGTGATTTGAAATCTTGTTATTTGTCTTGTTATTTCTCACACTATGGGGAAGGCATATGAATAATTATCATCCCCACTTAACATGTAGGGAGGTAAACTAAAAATTTTTCAACTCATGCCAATATAAGGGTTCCTTGTTTACTACGGAACCCTAAAAAGATGTTTGAACGTGATAAATTAAAAAATACCGAACGAACTTTAATTGATAGTTTTCACATATTGATTGTACTTACTGCTAAATACTGAAATTAATTAAATTTTAAGACGCATTCTTTAAAAGGTATAGGGAATATTGGTACATATATACAAATAATGAGCGATCAAGGGGTCAAAGATCAAAGAGGTTTAGGTTTTTGATAAAACGATAATATTTTTGCTACGTATCTATCCTAAATCAAAGGAGATACCTAAAAATGTAAAATATTGTTTTCCATTTATGCCTGCGACGACAGTTATTGAGAAAAACTCAGCTGTGCTATAATATAGACATTGATATTTAACATAGGTCCGGGCGCATATTTATGAAATCTTGTGTTAATAATGTAACAGAGACTTACTAAAGCTATGTATCAATTCAATTCATAAAAATGACAGTAAATACTAAATGATATAATTAGTTTTGCTCAATATATATGAAACAAGATCTTTATCGCAGTTTATAAAAAAAAAAGTTTTATTAAATAAAATATATTTTAAGCGAAACTTATATAAAAATTTGATTGTAACATGGCAAAATTAATAGTAAGGCAACGCGATCTCTTGTTTGATCTTTCTTTGATGACATAAATATCATCTTACTATTGTTATTAACTTATTAGTTATTTGGAATAATGCCTCCAGTTATTTTATTAGAAAAATAAAACGAAAATCCGATTTCAAATAAATAATGAATTTTGAAAATACTCTTTTTAGCTGACTTCAAAAAAGAAGGAGGTTCTCAATTCGACTGTAGGTGAACTGTGTGTATTTGCTATGCGATCACTCCGCCAATTATGAATCGATTTTCAAAAATCTTTTCGACAGCTTAATGGGCTAAGGTAGACCCATTTAAATGTTATCGAAATAGAATAAGTAGTTTTCTTTCTATAACAAAACAAAATATGCCCCTAACGATACCTATCACCAAAATATTTTGATGACATGTCTATATTACCGAAATCAAAAGATAGCGGCCCTTGTATTAATTGAAAATCCGAAAGGAGGAATTTCTAAGTTCAAGGTGTATGTATATTTTTTATGCAAGTAGGTATGTTCACCTATTTCTTCGTGAACTGTGACCAATTTCTAAACTAGCTGGCTGTAAATATTTTAGTGATACCTTTATCAAATATTTATATTGGTATAGTACCTATATAAGTATCACTTAAATAATGTTATTATTTAAACAGTTGTTAAATTTTTCAATAAACATTAAAGTCGGGCTGAGGTTTTCTAAAGTTTATTACATGATATCTTCAATGTATCTTGAATAATTTTACCGCTTATAGGAAAGATTATTATTTTTTACAGTTTAACCGACTGTTCTATTTTTTATTTGAAGTCGGTTAAAAATTAATATTTTTCATAATATTTGTTTTATTGTTACTTTCAGTTTTATAAATATATTTCCTACGCTGGCTTATAAACTTATTAATAAGTATTGGACTGTGTGCAATTTCAGTACAGTAGGCGAAGCTTCTTAATCCATAAATCTAAACATTGAGTCTTATCGTCGTTATCTTTAAATCGATATTGGATAAAATGAACCGATGTTCAGTGTGTCGCGCGTGAAGTTGGGATAACGATAAGGCGCGATAACGAGGCCTGAGGACAACAGTGTAACGAAGAGACGCAGCGCGGTTGGAGCATACTCCTCGACCATTTCTCTCCCTTTCCCTCGGCCACAGTGTATCGCATCGCATACCTGCGGACCTTTTTTTGTTGACGCTCCCCCCGCCGGCCGGCTCGGGCTCTCGTGCGCACGCTCACAACGTCTCGAGTCGCGCCTCCGTAAGCGTGTTCGCGTATCACGACCGGACATCGGCGCCCGCGCGTAAACATTCTCGTCTACAATGACATCTTTCATTATCTGATTCACAGGATATCTTCGACAAAAATGAAGTGCTTTGTTGCCGTTCTAATTATAGTGACTCTCGCGACCGATGCTGTCTCCGAGGCGTCAGTGCGAACATGTGAACCCATAAAAGTGGCAATGTGCAAGAACATAGGATACAACCAGACCGGAATGCCCAATCTGGCACGACACACTCTCCAGGCTGACGCGGATGTTACGTTACAGACTTTCAGCCCTCTAGTGCAGTATGGGTGCTCCTCTCAATTGGACTTATTCTTGTGCACTGTGTACGTTCCTATGTGTACTGATAAAGTTGCACTTCCCATTGGGCCCTGCAGAGGACTTTGTGAAAGCGTGTATGAAAGGTGTTATCCTGTACTTAGTGAGTTCGGTTTTCAATGGCCCGCGGAACTAGACTGTTCTCTTTTTCCCGCAGAGAATAACCACGAGCATATGTGTATGGAAGGACCAGGTGAACGAACAGCGCCTGTCGGGACTGTGACTCTAGATTCTGTAAATGCAGGCGGAAGAAGTGCTTGCCGGAGACTAATCAAGCCCAATAGTTGGGTATGGGTTCGGGGATCTAGCCGTTGCGCACAATTTTGCGAGGCTGAAGTACTTTGGGAATCTGGAGAGAGACGAGCAGCTGAAGTGTGGCTAGCGACTTGGGCTGCACTTAGTTTTGCATGTACCTTGGCGGCTGTCGGTGCTCAGCTAGCCTGTGGGGACCGTGGTAGTGCCGGAGAAAGAGCCTTGGTGCTGGTGGCGCTATGTCGTTGTGCCGCCGCCGCCGGCTGGGGCGTTCGTGCGGCCGCGGGCCGGACAGCTGCTGGCTGTGCTAAGGACTCCACGACACCTACTCGCATGCTGCTAGCTCATGATGGCCTTGCCAATCCAAACTGCGCCGTCGTTTTCTTACTTCTCTATTACTTCGGACTAGCAGCTTCTGTTTGGTGAGTACCTACATAACCTCGTCATCATAGGAATTTATAATTAAATAGTTTTACTACGATACCTTAGCAGTATTTCTAAACAAAGTTTTCGCAGACTACAAAACCAATATTGCTATAAAAAATTTGCGGGCCATTACAATTGACACCTCTGAATGCACCGGCAAGAAAGATTTTTGGCATTGTGTTCAGATTACGATACCTGCTTCTTTTGTCCGTGCTCGTCCCGTAGCGGTTCAACTTTGTCGCCGATCAATTATGTTTTGTCACTTGTCGTCCCGGGTAAATAGTACGATGGTTGCCTTTGATTTGTTAGAATCGTAAAGGTATTCAAACAAAATAACAAAGTCTCTCTTTTTATAAAAACACAAGAGGACGAAGTGACGAAATTTCCATTCTTAATATTTCTAAGACGTTTATACAAATAGAATATTATTACAATTATTTCTAGTCAGGTTCACAGAGTTGACACAATAGAATTTCTTACCGAATACGTGAAAATTGTACCTACGTATGCATTTCAATGTTAGCTGCCGAACCGAGCATACTATGCTAGCATTATCTACTTTAAAGGTAAGACATTTTAAAAAGTACACTGTACGAAGCGTGTGTACTATGTACTAATACTAATATGTCGCATACAAATCGAAGCTAATAATAGCTATAATGATGCAATCCAAAAATCGTACACACTTCCTCTCCGTGCATTAATACGATTTTTCGTTTTGAACTGTTTCTGCTGTTGACAGACATAATAAATGTTGCGTGTTCTCAGAAAACAGTTTCATAAAAGATTAGAAGAAGGTCGAGTCATAAAACTAAACGAATTGGGAAATAAAATAAACGAGGTACTATAAATCAAGTGCTAGGTGACGGTTCAGCGGGAAAAATATGAACTTTAATAAAAGTTAGGTTTATAATATAATTTTGAAATAATAAATCATTTTTACTGAAACAGAAACTGTTGTCAGCATAAGGTCGGATAATAAAGAGTTGTAAACCTTATTTCTTACTTACTATATAGGTATGTTCTTAGTGTTAGTCTTTTTAACATTTCTCATAGTTAATTACGTGATATGACAGTTTTTACTGCATAGGAAATGAGTTATGGCGTACAAAAAAAATGTAATACGAAGCAGCTGTAAAACTTCACGTGGTTGTAACAAAATACACGTTGTTGATGGGATGCAAGAAAAACTAGCTATCCCAGTCGTAACAATCGGGAATCATGTGTAATTTCAACAAATTTGTATCTTAGTCGGACCGTGTAAAGTACAATTTTGTGAAGCAGCATGTTTGTGAGGCTTACAGATAACATACAAAAAGCTACGGTCTCGAGTTTCTACATAAATAATGATTTAACGACATAGTTCAAGGAAACTTCAGTCCATATTGAAGCTTCAGAAAAAGTTTGCCGACTCAAGTGAATCGATTTGAGTTCCAATTTTGCAAATACATTTATTTATTTTATTTACAAATTATTTATGTATGTATTTACAAATATCGTAAATATAAATCGGTTTTAAACAAAGAAAAAATATTCTTTAAGTCAGAGAAAACTTAATTAATTCACATGCATTTACCATAACACTGCCCAACAATTTAAATTAATTCATAAAAATTTCCAAGAATATTTTTATCACGTTTGATATATTTTGATGTACTCATTTCAGAAATAACACTGATATTTTTGTAGCATTTCTAGTTTATAAGATTTTTCAAACTACCCGCATTTTAAGTGACAGTGCATATTCAGTGAGTTTCAACTAGAGTATTATTAAGTTTTTTCACACTAATAAACGCTGCATACGACGAAGAGACATTATTTAAACGATCCAGACAGGTTTTGTGTTATTTATTGTTTGCAAATATCGTAAATCGATCACAGCCTTCGTTTAATCTGCGTATTTTTCCTACTTTGGAGTCAATACTCACAATCTAAAGAAACCATGGGTGCCAAATACCGAGTGCCAAAATGTTGTTGTCTCTTTGCGACAATGGGCAAATGGAAAAATCATGCACTTGTTCAAGACACCCATGATCTGGCGAGACCTTCGTAATCATCATGATGATAATTATTTTTGTATCATTAACATTACGGATGTACTCTGCAAACCGGGATAAATGGTCCTACCCGACGTTGTCTGCTGCTCAGAGGTCTCTTACACACTCTGATCAAGCACTAGTGCCAGTACCATCGACATCATTAACAAGCTTGGTATTATGAAGCAATTTTTTAAAGTCAATAAAATAGGTGGCGAATGTTTTGCTAATCTTCCTTGACTGAGCAGAAAGAAGGCATTTTTGATTAACCACAAATCAGACAACATATTTTGTCGAAACTTGAAACGAGAAATGGAAATTTTTCGTTTCAGTGATTTGAATTTTTTTAGAGAATCGTAAATCCGAAAATTATATACAATTAATTAACTACATGTTGTCTGATTTGAACTTCTACAGTGCTATTAACAAACAAGGTTTAGCGTCATAGAAAATTTAGTACCAAAATTGTATTTTTAGTATTACTCCAAATTCATATTATACAGAGAATAAGCAAACTTTCTAAGTACATAGTAATATTTACCTTCTAGGAGTAAATACTTATTACTCCCATAGAAACTCGTACTAGTTTAACCTTTGCTAAGTCTCTGTTTAATAATATGTATTTTGAGTAATACTAAGTGCAATATATAATAAAATAATAAGTAATAATAAATGAAATAATAAGTCTCAGCGTAAATTTACTGCAACTCTAAACCAATATTAATAACACTGCTAGGGTATAACATAAGCATAAAACTACATTATTAACATTCTCATTTGGATAGATTTCATGAAAACCTTGGAGATTATAGTGAAGAGTAAGGTGAAAGGTTTTACCAGGACATTCGAAAGGTAGAACGTTTCCCTAGGAGATGACCGACTGCTGGGAACTATGTCAGGATCTAGAACAGGCGCCTCATTTAAAAAATATTATATGAAACATTTTTTTCCCCCAACTACAGTAATCGTTTCAAATAGCGTGTAAAAATCATACATTTATACTAATTTATAAACTGTAAATTTAAAACTAGAGTTGCTAGAAAAATTTTCAGTGTTGACTAGTGTAATTGGTTCACCTAGTGTACAATTATCATAGATTAACATTATCAAAAGTATTTAATGGTAAGGGAATTAAAGTTTGACTATCGATGTAAACCTTTAACGGATTAATAAACAGCTAAGTTAAAATAATAAATATGACAGTAATAAAACGTCAACAGTTATTCCTGCCATTTCAAGCATTTCATTTTTTGTCCGTAAAACATGCACGATCCAGTAGACATTTCTCGAAATCATAACGCCGTTTTGTAGCTTCTTTTCGTTCTTCGCATTTCGTTTCAATTAATTGCTTTGTTCCACAAAATTTCCAACGATTCTAATGTGCTCATATTCCACGGTTCGTGAGCTAGATCATCTAGATAAACTAAACTTTTACTCAGATTTATTTTTAGCATAAATTCGACGGTTCAAAATAATTAATTAAATAATTTAAGTCGTCTCAATTACGCGAGAGCATTGTATATTTTAAAGCACCCATTACGATCGAGTGCTTACTTAATGTAAAAGAAACCCTGGCTTTCTGAGTGTTCCGACGGCTGTTGAAGTGGTTTAGTGGTTTACAAGGGGTGTATAATGTTTAGGCGACTAAGGTTATGTTAAAACTTAAAAATTTTTGGAAAACTAATTTCATTTAATAATTCTGTATAATATTAATACAATCGAGATGATTGGTTGCCCTGTTAAGGGGTGGGTCGAGCGGGGACGGCATGCGCGGGAAGTGGTCCCGTTGGGGACCGTTACCGCGCGCTGATCCCCCGCAGTGAGGGACATCGCTGAGTTTTAGTGGGTAGGCCTCTGCTCTTTGACCAGTCCCATTCTGGGGTTGGTCCGCAGGGGAGAGTCCCACATAACCCGTGGAGCTCGCGCAGGGTAAAGCGGGTATGCGGAAGGCATTTCTCAGCGTCAAAAAAAAAAAAAAAAAAAAAAGGTCACCTATACTAAAATTATTTAGCAAATACTTAATATACATATAATAGGTATTTGTATAAGAGAAAATTTAGCTTTGCAGTACTTCTTTTGATCCCTGCTGTTTTAAATCATTACTTTTGCCTATTTTTTATTGGTATTACACAGTCACCTCTTCCGCAATCGTTAGAAACATCTCTATCTATTTTTTTATCGTTTTAAACAAGGAATAGATAGCGACATAAAACCAGAAATAGCTAGGCGTTCCAACGGAGGCCATTACTATATAAGCTTTGACTACGAACGGCCTCTGAGATTTTTATTTCAGTCTTGCATCGCGAGACTTTTATGACGGTGATTACACTTTTAATCACTTCTAAGAGGATCCCACCTTCGCTATATTATTCAACGAGTTTCATCGAACAACACCTAATTAATTTCATTGGCGACTTATAACCGTGTTACAGGAAGATCGCATGTGCCTTTAAAGCAGTAAATCTGTCTTTATGGCAACCATTATTAATTTCTTAGAAAGCCAGAAATTGTTACAAAACAGACTCGTTATGATAATTTTAAGTGGATTTATGTGATGTCGGTTTTCTTTGATATGGTCTCCTCTCTGACGGGTTATTAATATTCTTGATTAGTATCTAATGTTCTCTGTTTACAATTCGTATTCTATGAACAGTCTTTATCTTATCTGAAATTTCATATCTTAATATTTAAAATGGAATGTTTATCTGTTATTTTGACCATTAACTTTAATCTAAAAATAGTTTAATGACTTCTCAATAATGATATTCCGAGGCAAAAATTGCCAATTAAAACATTATTTAAGAGAATTGAGTTACATTTCATTTATTTATTATAAAAGAGTACTTACAATTTATTTGAGATAATAAATGTTTTACTAATGAAAATTACTATCCTTCCACAAACTAATTCAGAGTAAGCTTTTAAAAAAACAAAACGTCGGATAGAGTTTAGAGTTGTAT